CTCCACTAAACGACTCGTTGGAGCTCTTGCCCCCCCCTCCATGTGAGCCTAGTGTGCTCCGATTGGTCAGCTCGGCCACTCTGTTCTGATTAGTCAACCACCAGAGAGGCTCCGCCCGCTTTTTTCGGGGAACATCAGTGTAATAATGGCGTCGGTACAGCTGATATTTTATACTAACTAACCGAACTGAACCTACAACTGTTGTTATAGAAGAGTGTGACGGCCCCAGGGCCTTTGTGCAGGTGTGTTGCAGGGCTTACGGTGGGGTGGAGCTGAAGAGGGTAATCAGCGCGATCACGGACACCTCCGTAGCCGGTGCTATTAATCCCAGCGGCCCGGAGTCTCTCTCCAAAGCGGCTGCAGAAGGACGAACTCAGCGATCCTCTCCCCTCGACCACCTATCTCTGCATTTACCACAATAAATGTGCCGTGGTTTTGTAAACTCGTGTATGTCTCCTTGTCTTTCCGTTGTGGCCTACGAGCCGGTCATAACAAAGAGTAAGTTATTTTTACCTGTAATAAACTACTACTGTTTGATGAGAAATCAAATCATGGTTTGCTATATATGAATGATATGTTATAGGAGCAAATAATTAAGTAAGTAATTAAGTATTTCCATTCAACTTTATTTTTAGAAATGTACAAAATGAACATAAATATACATATATACACACGGTATATCATCCATTCCTCCTCGCATCTTGCCTGCGCACAGCCGGTGCCTTTTAGCACGAGGCCTCAGTAGTAGTAGAAGTCCCGTCCCCGTCATGGATTGTCCGCCAGGATCTGGCTGGACGAAATCAAATGCAAATCACAAAATATTAGAGAAACTTAGTTGTTTTAGATTCGTTAGTAGTAGTTGTGGTAGGAGTGTAATGAACAGCTTGCCTGCTAATATGCTAACCTAGCTTTGTTTACCTTGGTAGCTAACACGATATGAACGTTAGCTTGGAGGAAAGGCAACTATAATGCAGTGTAATAAAACTACTATGAACAAAAGCTAGTGGTTCATATTAGGCTAGCAATAACGTGTTTATAATTGCAATCGTATACGGGTATTCTGCTACGTTCGGTCATACAATGTAACTTGCATGAATACATTGTTTTGCGCTAGCATACAGCTAGCCTCGTTAGCTATGCATGCAGTATATGTACTGTCACAATGTACGGTAAATCACCCGGAGTATACTGTATGAGTATTCCGTGTGTGTGACTGCAGACATTCTCCTGCCATGACAAACATGTAAGGCCATCTGCTGACATTGTAGTTGATATATTTAAACGCTAGCAACGTAGCATCACAAAAATGTTTTTCCGACCAAACCTAGCTCTAGCTCCGTGTGTTAGATCGGTTGCATACACGCTACGCCAGCTATAATGTAATTACGTTTCGCGACTGACCGCACGGCAAATCACCCGGAGTATACTGTCAATAGGTATTTTGTGTGTGAATGCAGACATTCTCCTGCTATGAGATACATGTATGCAAGGCCATCTGCTGATATTAGAGTTGATATATGGAAACTAGCAACTTAGTTAGCACAGTTAGCACTGTGTCAATGGCTTAGCAGTCCAACACAGTTTACACATTTAAACAGTCTTGTTTGATAAATACACAAATAACAATGCAAACTTACAGGTTGTGTACCCGGATCTTCCCCTGCTCCAAACGGTCCAAACAAGCTGTGCATATCCGGCCTCAAACTGGGCAATGTTTTGGAAGCTTTCGTCTGTGAAATGCCGGTTCTTCGAACCTCTGGAGGAACACGCCGCTGCTGGTGTGGCCATAGCTCTTCGGGATTGGTCCATTTCGTTCCGGGTACCGCATGACATCAGGCGGTACCCGGAACTAAATGGAAGACTCAAATGGGCAGTGACGTATCTCCAACGAGGCGTTTTGGGGAGGTATTTTCTGTGTTAGAGTTTTACTCGCTACAGGGTGTACTTTGAGGGTTTTGACTCTGCACACCGTTTACATGCATAAAAACCTTCATAACACACAAGGGGACGGGTAATAACCGGAAAAGCATGACATGGGAGCTTTAACAGATTTGGCTTCAACAGTTCAGGTGTTTAATAGTCTTATTGCCTGTGGGATGAAACTGTCCCTGAGTCCGGTGGTTTTAGTCCGGATGCTGCGGTACCGCCTGCCAGACGGCAGCAGACAGAACAGTTTGTGGCTGGGGTGATGGGGGTCTTTTATAATCCTGAGGGATTTCTTCCTGAGCCGCTGGGAGTAGAGGTAGAGGTCCTCCATGGATGGCAGCTCCGTCCTGGTGATGTTCTGTGCAGTTTTCACCACCCTCTGTAAAGCCTTACGATTGAGGACGGTTTCAACTAACAAGTCCTTAAACAACGCCAGAGAAACCCATACCGTGTTCATGTTAGTGTTTACCGCCTGTCTGTCTTTTTCTGTTGACATATCTGACGTCCAACGCTCTGTCTTTCCTTCTCTCGCTTGATCCTTCTCGGCAACGGTCATTGAAAAAGGAAAATGAGGTTGGGGGCCAAGATGATGCCAAGATGCCAATGCACCAATCTCAGCTATGGAGCCCTGTCGCTCCTTGGAGGTCAAATGATATTAATCCTAATTTTCAAAGATTTTTCACATTTTCAACAACAATACATGGTCAAAGATAAAATAAACATATTGTTGTGGTTGACAAACAGCAGTAGGCCGTTATGACTCCTCAAAGCACTTTTACATAACTCATCGTTCACCCCTTCATACACATCCATACAAGGTGCCACCTGCTCAAGGGAACTAACATGCACTCAGGGATCAACCTGGGGTGAAGTATCTTGCCCAAGGACACATCGACATGGAACGACAGGTCTTTCAAATTGGAAGACCATCTACCTCCTGAGACACAGTCGCATGATTTGTGTATTTTTTTGGAATAGTTGCTTTGTCTTTGCCAAGCTGGCATTCCTTTTGTGTAGCATATTAGCAAATAATTTCATTACTACTTAACCTTCTTTTCACCCATGTCCGGTATTGTTGTACAAAGGGTCAAATATGTATGGATATCCTTAGTTTCTTAGGACATACAGATAACACATATACGGACAATGAGGTCTTAAACTCCTAGATGCTAAAACCACGTTTTTGTCAAGTTAAATATGCAGGAACCCATGACCAATAAACATCTTGTGAATACACAAGATACGTAAAGTCATTATAAAATAGAGATCGTAATGAGGAAGCACTTTTCTAACAGGACTTTCCCCATACAGGTATAAAGTATCCAACAATACATGGTCAAAGATAAAATAAACGTATCGTTGTGGTTGACAAACAGCAGAAGGCAGAGAGGAACATGAGAAGCTAGGGATAAAAAGCTGGAAAGTATATATATATATATATAAATATAATAAATATAAAACATTTTAGAATATTTACTGTATATATATATATATATATTGTGTGTGTGTGTGTGTGTATATATATATATTTTGTGTGTGTGTGTGTGTGTGTGTGTGTGTGTGTGTGTGTGTGTGTGTGTGTGTGTGTGTGTGTGTGTGTGTGTGTGTGTGTGTGTGTGTGTGTGTGTGTGTGTGTGTGTGTGTGTAACTTTGATGTAGGGCAAAGTGTACAGCAGGTGAGCACACAACAGATTTCTACCAGGAAGTCGGCTTTATGCAAAACATATCTTCATTCTTTTGGCTCTGGAAAGTAAAGTAGATCCCTCCCCCATGGACAAAGAGAAAACCAAGAGAAAAATGTAGGCTTACATCCTTGTATGTACATTTGTTTGTACGAGTTGACTTCCTTATTCCCCATTCTTCTGGCTGTGGGTGGCCAAATTGATTTAATCAAATCATCAAACATTTTTTCAATCTGGCAAAAGGTCAAATGATGGTAAATGGTAAATGAACTGCATTTCTATAGGGCTTTACCGTTCGTTATGACTCCTCAAAGCACTTTTACATAACTCATCGTTCACCCCTTCATACACATCCATACAAGGTGCCACCTGCTCAAGGGAACTAACATGCACTCAGGGATCAACCTGGGGTGAAGTATCTTGCCCAAGGACACATCGACATGGAACGACAGGTCTTTCAAATTGGAAGACCATCTACCTCCTGAGACACAGTCGCATGATTTGTGTATTTTTTTGGAATAGTTGCTTTGTCTTTGCCAAGCTGGCATTCCTTTTGTGTAGCATCTTAGCAAATAATTTCATTACTACTTAACCTTCTTTTCACCCATGTCCGGTATTGTTGTACAAAGGGTCAAATATGTATGGATATCCTTAGTTTCTTAGGACATACAGATAACACATATACGGACAATGAGGTCTTAAACTCCTAGATGCTAAAACCACGTTTTTGTCAAGTTAAATATGCAGGAACCCACGACCAATAAACATCTTGTGAATACACAAGATACGTAAAGTCATTATAAAATAGAGATCGTAATGAGGAAGCACTTTTCTAACAGGACTTTCCCCATACAGGTATAAAGTATCCAACAATACATGGTCAAAGATAAAATAAACGTATCGTTGTGGTTGACAAACAGCAGAAGGCAGAGAGGAACATGAGAAGCTAGGGATAAAAAGCTGGAAAGTATATATATATATATATAAATATAATAAATATAAAACATTTTAGAATATTTACTGTATATATATATATATATTGTGTGTGTGTATGTGTATATATATATATTTTGTGTGTGTGTGTGTGTGTGTGTGTGTGTGTGTGTGTGTGTGTGTGTGTGTGTGTGTGTGTGTGTGTGTGTGTGTGTGTGTGTGTGTGTGTGTGTGTGTGTGTGTGTGTGTGTGTGTGTGTGTGTGTGTGTGTGTAACTTTGATGTAGGGCAAAGTGTACAGCAGGTGAGCACACAACAGATTTCTACCAGGAAGTCGGCTTTATGCAAAACATATCTTCATTCTTTTGGCTCTGGAAAGTAAAGTAGATCCCTCCCCCATGGACAAAGAGAAAACCAAGAGAAAAATGTAGGCTTACATCCTTGTATGTAGAAAGTATCCAACATTCCACCACCATAGCCAACCATTTCTATCGCTAAGGAGTGGACACACACATATAAAAAGAGGAATCGGCAGACATGAGCCATTCACCAAAGGATTCTTGGTCTAACAGGTAACAGAGATGCTATATGATCTTTTTCTTTTAGCAAAGATTAGACTTATAAATAAGTGACAATTGACAAAAATAGTAGTATTTGTCATATTATCTTTTTTGCAAATGCCATTTTCATTGTATTACCAGTATTAATCCCAAATGTTCTGCCGTCAGGTTTGTCTTTTGCTTTCCAGTGTAAATATTGTTATATTTTGCATTCAGGTTTATCTAGTCACAGTCAACCCAAACTAGAGCTGAGCAACATCTTTATTATTGTCTCCCTTACAGGATTCTTCCTCTCTCCAGTGGGAAAATGGTTGATTTTGAAGTGACAGTATTCACTGCCAATATCGACTATGCTGGGACTTTAAACAATGTCTACATTGAGCTGGTGGGAACAGATGGGAATAGTGAACGCGAGTTGCTGATGGACTATCTTCGGACCTGGAACTTTATAAGAGGAGCAGTAAGTCTGTTATATCACAATCAATGTTTAAATAGAGACGGGCTTGTTATAACTCTCTGATAAGTCGGGTTTAGTTTTCTTCTTGAATTATGATGTTATAAAGTCATATCTGGTGGTTTGTGAATATATGTTAATGTGATACCTGTCCTGCTTCCACCAATATAAGAAATTGCCAAACAATTAATGTTCTCAAATCATTTCTGTCATTACTCCAGGTGTCTAGTTTTACAGTACCTTGCCCTGTCTCCATTGGAAAGCTGATCCAGATCAAGCTGGACAAACCGCGCTTCCTGTTCTTTGAAGACAATTGGTTTCCTAAAAAGGTGGAAGTGAAATCCCCTGAGGGAGACACCTACAACTTCCCCATCTACCGCTGGATCAATGACAGCGAGGTGCACTGCTTCAGAGAGGGAACAGGTTTGTGGAAATGTCTTAGTATGACATTATTTTATCCCTTATGCATGTCCCATCTACGCACACACTACCTAACAACAGGATTCAGAGATCTTTGAACACAAAGTTAACGTTAATGTGTTTTGCTGATTTATTTGTATATTCTGTCTCTTTCCTCAAAAAAGATAACTGAAACAAATACAGAATCACAATTAGCTTTTTTTTACAGAGTCAAATTACAGCACACATGATTTTTCATTAAATAAGGAGCCTCTATGCACACAACATGAAGCTACATTTAGCTCATGGTTTTTTACCTTAGCTCATTCAATTACCACAATGTAGTAGTATAAATTCAAAATAATTTAAAGGCCGATTTGCACAAAACACAGAAGAAATAACCAATTTACCAGCAAGGCTCATAACGTGGAGAGAAGCTATTCGTCCGACCACATGGTGATTTTCTTGAGATATAGTCTAATCATGATTGATCCCTAAACTAGAAATCACATGATCGGAACAGACCAGAGAGAAAACGTTCCTACTGTCATTACAAAATCTTACACCAGATGGGGCCAAAATCTATGAATTTGCAGGCAGCAGTCATGTAGTCATGTGCTATGACAGACATCCTGTCTGAAGACATTTGCAATCTGCTCTTTAAGGCTTCATTACATTCATGCCCACACTGTATAAATCACACATTTTGAACCTTGTTTAATCTCTTTCTTTAAGCTCTGACAGCCTGTAAAGATCCACATTCCAAGACAATACGGGAGCAGGAGATAAAACAGCGAGAGAGTGACTATTGGTGAGCGCCCAGACCCCTTACAATATAATATATATAAATATAACCATGATATGACATTTTTGCACCCGCCAGAGATCAGTAAAATGCGTTATACATTTGCATAAGTTTCATAATTGCAATATTGAATACATATGAGGTATATTAAGCATGCATACCCTAGATTAGAGACTATCTAAAGTTCATAACCTTCTCCTATTTCCTATTTCCCAGTTGGCATGATCATGCAGAGGGGTTACCCCATTGCATGAAGGCGGATAGCCTTTTTTCCCTGCCTTCTGCGCTCCGCTTCTCCTACACCAAGGACATAGAGCTTGCCTTCACTCTAGGGACAGGGTAAAGTCCTCAAATTAGATATCCATCCTTTTATGTACCTGTTTATTGAAAGGACTTTAAGATTCATAATAAAGTTACTCTTTCCTTTTTGTTTAGGCTAATTGAGCTCAAACTTGAGGGAGTGGCTGATTCCGTGGATGACTGGACTAAGATTGATGATATCAAAACAGTGTTCCCTTGCAGATCAACACAAATTTACGGTACTTAATGGTAGTTTAATAGACTTATATTGGATGAATACAAAATAAAAAAATAACATTACACTTTTCAATTTCACTTAAAATCTAAACAAATAATAAAATAAAACAAAATCACAAAATAAAAAGCAAGATAAAAATTAAAGCAGCAAGCAGTTATGAACAGGCCTTTGGACCTTCCCGCAGTTATGACAACATTAAACAAATGTAACACCGGATAAATCTAGAGACTTTGAAAACACCAACCGCACACCAAATCTGGAACGGGACGTGAAGAAGCGTGGGGGGCTTCCCGCTCCCCCTACTTTTGTCTCCTTTCCCAGACATAGTCCATTTATTGACCTTTATTTGGGGCTCAACTACACACCTGTGTAAAAATCTGTCCACAGACCGCCTTAAAGCCAGACATATAATACTCCGGGAAAACTACTCAAAACAGCGTGGTAGTTCCCACCGTAGGTGTTTCCAATAGCATATTTACCAATGAGAACAGTCACATTGAGTGGACTCAAAAGTGTAAACAATACCAGCGTTGCTGAAGGTAATGATGGAGTGATGACATTTTGGACAGACATGGATGTCAAATGTGACTTGATTTGCATGCAACCAGGAGGTGGTAATTGTAGTTTATTGCTGAGAAAAACCTTCTGGGTCTAATAGATTAGTTTTTTACTGAAAATAAATGTGACAGGCATGAAGAAGTTTCCAGATTTTAAGCTTTGCTCCTGAAAAGCTGTGACTTTGAAACAACCAGAAAACAGTGTCTCTGATTTTGAATTTAGTGTAACACATTTCAAATGCAGAGTAGTTAGGCTGATAATAGTTGAAGAGTAAGATTTTGTAGAAAGAAAATTAGAAACTCAACTAAGTTAAACTCTTTCATTTTTCCAGACTATGCCGAGGAACATTGGAAAGAGGATGCTTTCTTTGGCTACCAGTTCCTAAATGGTGTCAACCCCATGTTGATCCGACGTTGTTCAACTCTGCCCAAAAACTTTCCTGTCACTGATGAGATGGTCTTCTCCAGAGGTCCGTATACCTTGGCAGAGGAAATGAAGGTGAGTGTCTTGATACTCTCAGTATTAGAAACGTGTTTAGCCCAATGACATGTTGAATTAACAATTGCATGTCAAAATTACATGTTGATTTAGTATGTGTAATATCATCCTGTATTATCCTCTCGAAAACAGAAAGGCAACATATTCCTGTGTGACTTCAAGCTTCTGGATGGACTGAAAGCTAACATCATCAAAGAAAAGCAGCAGTACATGACGGCTCCCCTCGTCCTGCTCCACAAAACACCCGATGACAAGCTGATGCCACTTGCTATTCAGGTGAGATTAGCACTCAGGTATAGTCAATCGTTAAGATTCGGTTTATTGAGTAAAGTAGTTTATCAATTAAACTAAGTAGCAACCAAGCTGGTGTCTAGATGACAGCTATGAATTCCCTATTCAAGAAAAATCCATTAATTCACTATTGCCTGACCCTGAAGCATGTCAACATTCCCACTTAAAGCCATATTCAGTTTCACTTCGGTGAACTAGACAGTGACAAACTGAACAGTGTTACTGTTACCTGGGATTCAATGCAAATGTGAATTTCACGTGAAAAATAAAGAGAGCATCTAGCTGAAAAGCAGATTAAACCTATAGTAAATTCTTAAAATGTAAATGTTATTCCTGCATAAAATAAGAAATCCAACACAAGTCAGGTCAAATTCCTTTCCACAACATAAAATACCAAGGAACGTAGGGCTGCTGCTCTGAACCACACCCCCTTCCTTCTCCTGCAGCTGAAGCAGACTCCAGGAGAAGACAATCCCATCTTCCTGCCTACTGATTCTGAGTACGACTGGTTGATGGCCAAGATTTTCGTGAGAAGTGCAGATTTCAACCTGCATCAACTCAATGTTCACCTGCTGCGCACACATCTGCTGGCTGAAGTCTTCACGGTGTCTCTGATGCGCAACATTCCCATGGTGCATCCACTGCACAAGGTAGCTGAAGAGAGAAAACTAAACTTATTGTTGCCAGTTTTTGTTGTTGAAGGTTTTTTAGTTGATGAGCTTTTGTGTCTTCCTAATTTAATTCATTACATTGATGTAGTGTCTATATATTTCAAGCATTACACACAGCTAAATGGTATAGTAGCAACAACGTTTCTTAATTTGAAATAATTATAATTTCACTAAAGACAGTTCACTCTGTCCTTCAGCTGCTGTTGGCTCACACATGGGACACCTTGGAAATCAACTACTTAGCTCGAAATCAACTAATATCTAAGAATGGAACTTACACCGAGGTATGAAAGAAAAATCACACCATCAGTAAACCATTACCTAAGCAATGTTTTACTTTTTAAATGTACAGTATTTGTCTCTTACTATATTCCTTACATTTTTTTACATTGTTTCCTAGTTTGCAGCGGCTGGTGGGGAGGATATGATGAAACTCCTGAAGCGATCACTGTCCTCATTGACCTACAGCTCCCTCTGCATACCAGAGGACATCACTGAGCGTGGCCTGCAGACTGTGCCCAACTTCTACTACAGGGATGATGGACTCGAGCTCTGGGGTATCATCCAAAGGTAGTGTCTTAATATTAGAAATATCAAAACCAAAATCCTGCTGTCGGTTCTAGCTTTCGTTATAATCTTCATCATTACCACTTCAATCAAGAAAAAGTCACAGAACGTAAAACCATGAATTGCCCTTTTTAAATGTCTGTTTATGTATTGCTTGAAAGAAAGAGATAAATTGTGTTAGTGCGATTCAAGAGGGGCTGGTAGGCATATATATTTATATAAACTCATGACACTAAACAGGTTGACATTAGTTGTCTTTCAACTACAGTGTGTAAAGAAGTAGAATTCTCAAGGCAGGTGTTATAAAAACATGTCTACATTTTCCAAAGGTTTGTGGAAAGAATGCTCAAGTTCTACTACAACAATGATGCCGAGGTCAAGAAAGACTCTGAACTGCAGAAATGGATTTCGGACATTTTTAAGCATGGATTTCTTTCCAAAGTATCCAGTGGTGAGCTTTACGAATAGCAGAATATACATCATAATCAATGTGCAAATTGATGTGCCATTATGTTATGATTGTTTAAACTGTTAGGCATCTTTTAGTAAAGCATTTACTTCCCTCTGGTTCTCAGGGATCCCACAGAGATTCACCACCGTGGAAGAGTTGGTGAAGTTTGTCACCATGGTGATCTTCACCTGCTCAGGACAGCACTCAGCTGTGAACTCTGGACAGGTGAAGCCTCTTAATATACTACAATTATTATGTATTTGTGTGGAATGGGTCAATGAGGTTTTGTAGTTTCTTTACTGAAAAGAGAGTTACATGACATTAAAAAGAGTAAACGACCATGTTAGCAGGTCTGGGAGGCTGCACGTTGGTTCAAATATGCTTCAGATGCTAACATACATAAGGTATCATTTTTACTAAGATCTAAATCTTAGTTTTTAATGTAAGCTTATACTGTAGGCACAGATACAGAGTAAAGCTGAGACTGATGTGAATATCATTAGGTCTGCAGGTCATGAATCAAAGTATTTGACAACTAAAACATTTTATATAATGGTGGTGCTGGATTTGAAAGGTATCACGTCCATCCTGAGGTCGACATGAATATATGAACTTAATTGAATCGCAACAGAAGTCAATAAGATCCTTTGGGCTGTGCAGATGTTGGTTCCAATCAAAATTTCATGGCAATACATCGAATAGCTGTTGAAGTAGTTTAGTTGGCTAAAAGTAGTGGACACACTGGCCAACAAAGTGGGATGGTGTGGCTTCAAAAAGTATTATTCAGTCTTCATGCCAATCTTTTATTTATTGCAGTATGACTATGGTGGCTGGATGCCCAACAGTCCCTCCACAATGCAACGTCCTCCACCAACCAGAAAGGGGAAAACAAATCAGGACACGATGCTGCAGACATTACCCAACAAGGGTGTAACAGCTAACGCAATGGCCGCCTTGTGGCTACTCAGCAAATCATCGTCTGACTACGTAAGATTAAGATCATGATTTGTGTACATTTTGTTCAAATGTGATTAAACCAAAATATCGTCTTTTAGCTACTGAAAATCTTGTACACTTTCCACCACAGCAGTATATCTTACCCATAGTCTTTGATTGATAAACATTTGAATGTTAGTGGGAAAAAGTGTACTTGTGTATAACAATGTGTCATTGATGTCATCAGGTCCCTCTTGGCCAGTACCCAGAGGCCCATTTCAACGAGACGAATCCCTGCGAGCTGATAAAACACTTTCAAGGAATGCTTCAAGCGTTAAGTGCAAACATCAAAATCAGAAACTTGCCCCTGAAGGTCCCATACACATACATGGATCCAGAAAAGGTAGAAAATAGTGTGGCTATTTGAATATCAGAAGGTGTATGTTCCCGAGGTGCTGGCCAAATTCACCTTCATATTAACCAAAGTAGAAAAGGGGAAAAACTGCATGTTATTAAAGGGGACCTATCATGCAAAATGCACTTTTGTACGTCTTTTATACATGAATATGTGTCCCCGGTGTTCCAGGGAACTCACCAAGTGTCAGAAAACACAACCCTCTCTCTTTTCCTCCACACCCAAATCTCTAAAAACGGGGCTGCAACGGATCTGATACAGACTGATACAGATTTGAACATTTCTCTGATGTCAGGACGGAGGAGCTCCGCCTATATGGCCAACTCTCCACCTATCAGGGGAATGAGAGGTTGCCGTGGCATGGTAACAGCATGGTAACATGACGCTCGTAACTCGGCCCCCTCCTTTGCAGGGGGGCGTGGTCAGCTGCAGCGCATGCAAAGACAGGGTGGAGGAGAGCAAAATAGAGCGAAATGAGGCATGGCTAAAATGCATGATCTGTTTGGTATTTTGAAAAATAAAACGTATAAATATACCTTATATAGGTATGGCCCTACAATATATTATTCAAATATAGCATGATAGGTCCACTTTAAATAATGTTGGTGTGGGGGAAGGAAACAATACTGCGTCTGATCATTGAGTGATGATCTGGGACATTTTTTTAACAGCCTGATTGATAAAACGGAAAATGTACAGTTTTAAATCATAATCGACATGTTATTTCTTCTTATTGGGCCATTAATCAATACACAGGGTATCTTAACTAAATAAATAGCTCCTGGAAAAATATTATTTTGCATTACAACTGTAAGACTTAAATAAAATGTGCCTTATTACTTATGGTAATAATGAAAAAATAAATATTTGTAGAGGGAATTTTGTTTTGCCATATTCACTACATGCCGTGTAATGTATCTGTATGTATACAAAAAACAGTTAGTGAGAAGTTTCTTATGATATCCATCTTTCATGGACGAAATGGGACAATTCTAACGTGTTTGTTTAAACTTGTATGTGATATGGAAAATGTAATAAACATGGTGTGGGTCCTCTGAATATAAAAGTCATGTGGTGGATTTTTGGTTCCCCGAGAGACGCAACTTGGTTTAATTACTTATACTTATTTATATGATTAATAATGATATTAAATATGTGAATACACTTTTTTTGGTAATGATTATTAATTCCTTCTGATAGTCATTTTAGTTCCCTTATTGAGCAAATGACCCTACTTCTTTAAGTGACTCTTTATGTATGTCAAAGCTACAGATTCAATAGGATTAAGGAAATGTTATTAATTATTAATTGTATTTAACTATTTCTGGACACAGGTATAGTTATGTTGACATGTTGATATTACAGGTCCGGCCTTTATTATTAAACAAAAATAAAAATCTCTAAAACTTGCTTAGAGGAACCTGTGCACTTGAAGCACAGCTGAAGTAAGAAACAATGCAAGGAGTGCAAATACAAAATATATAAATAAATAAGGTACCCTTATTGCACATAATGCATGTCCCATATTATCCCGTATAATAAAATAATAAAATAAAAGTGTGAGTGACTAGCAAACGATGGAGAGGGTGACGGTTATTGTCACATGCTGCAACATGTTGTGCAGCATCCTCTTTTAAGACAACACAAACATATAATCAGGCTCCTCCCTCAGGAGCCCAACATCCTAGAGAACTTGTTAAATCTGTGGGTGTGGGCTGCCCTCACCCTGCCGCCCCAGCACATTACAAAGAAGACTACAGCAACTGGCTTAAACAAAAGGGTAGAACATCCTCCACACTCTGTAGACATTGAAAGTAGACTCAGCAGTGATTTACAACAACAACAAATGCACTTATTCATAAGTATTTTTCTAAAAACAATCTGATAAATAATCCGAGGGTTTATTTGCAATTTAAAGATTTTAATCAATGGCTTTTTGGTCAACATGTTTATTAACAGGTTATGTGTTTTACTGTCTTTTGAACACATGAAGACAACATATAAACAAGAAGATACTCTTTTACTCTTAACCATTTTATGTTGTTCCATTTTTGTTTTATGTGAACGTTTTTCTGTTGCATATAGTGTTGCTAATTGTTGTTGCTGGTCTTCAGCTTGTGTGTAAACTTGATCAACAAAGACAGTAGGTGGAAGAGAGTTTGTGCAGAATCTGTTGCTATCAAGAAGAGGTAGAAAAGTGAGACGTGTGGTGTGACGTAGCGGGAGAAGTTGGGAGTGCGAGATTGAGAGCAGCTGGTGGAATGGCGTCTTTGAGTCCTGGAGAGGAGGATATGGAAAGTGCATCTGAAGGAGAAGGAGGATGGAATGAAGTAATAACAAAGAGTTCAAGAAAGAAGATAGACATGTCAAGTGACAGTCTCAGTGAGTCTGATTCGCAGAATGAAATAAAAAGAGTAAAGCAAAGGATTGAGAATGAAGAGTGGAAAGTGATTGTGGAGTTTGGTGAGCAATCCGCAGTTAAGCTACATCCAGTGGCCCTGACTAAAGCGATTCACAAAGAAATTGGATCGATAAAGCAAGCAAGATTTCTGAGCAAAGGACGGATGTTGGTAGAAATGATAAATGCAAAACAACAGGAAAAGTTGCTGAAAATGAAGACCCTGAATGAAGTTCGAATTAAATGCCATGTTCCTGGAGCAAATCGGAAAATACTTGGAGTGATCAGTGGAGTTCCGATAGAAATCAGCATGGAAGAACTCAAGAAAGAAATTAAAGGGGGCAAAGTGTCTGTAGTTAAAATAAAATTATAAAATGCAATAACGTGCTTTAACCAGTAGGTGTCCCTTTCTATCAGCTGTGCACCGTTATGGCGTAAATACAGCCTATCTACCAATTGGATCAAATATAAAAGTCAGCCGAATTAGTGTTGATACTGCAAGGAGACGTATTGTGTGAAAAGAAATGTAAGATGTTGTTAATTGCTGATATATTTAAGATCCACGTCAAGTTTTCAGTTTTGGCGGCAGTTCCTGTTTGTCTAGAAGTCTTGTCATCAGGGCTCTATAAATAGAGTTAACTACGGCAGATATGTAATATTTAATGCAGCCGAAACGTGTATTACAATGCCGTTATGTGATTACTTTCAAAGAGAAAAGCAAGCACACTTGGAATAATGTATTATTTAATTTTTGTATACAGTCTATGGTTGCTACAGAGGATTGTGGGTAATGTCCGTCAAACTTCCGGGTTCCTCCATGGGATCTTATTTCGGAAAAAGTATGCATTGAAGTCAATGGAGAGAGAAAGATTATCTTTCGATCCCGTTTGAATTGTGCCACGAATTACACATATGATGTTTGTCAATCTTAAATAATAATTTCCATGTCAAAAAAGTCAGTTTGTCGTAAAACTGTTGAAATATAAGACTATGAAATGTGTGTGTATGTACAGCTCTCAACATGCCCAGACTTGTAGTGATTTTCACCTCTTTTAATACTTTTAAAAGTATTAATAAAAATACGGGGAATACGGATCTCGGGGTCTCCCTGCTCCCTGTGCGCAGATGCGACGCGTCATATGACGTCACATGTTTGGCATGTCTCGATTGAATATGCTTTATTTAAAACTAAAACAAGGACAATAAACAAAGCAGTCTTCACAACGGCCGGACAAAATACTTTGAGCCGCCCTATAGCCAAAGCCCGAGACACTGTTTAAAGCATAATAAAGACAATATATAGAGAGCATAATGGAAAATAACGTATCTATGCCACAATTTTAGATGCAGATTTTGTTAAACTAATACGTTTGCGCTGTGGACCAACACTATACATTGACAGGGAAAGGGTAGCAATAAAGATAACACCATTAAACAGTTACACAACATAACAGACATAATATCGATAGCAGCGTCCCTAGCAACCACCTTGGTAACAATGAAAACGTTGTATTTACACAATTTCCTGAAGTATTCTTCGTAATAACTAGCAAACTAAAGATCATGTACATCCACTGCCAGTGGCGGCCGGCCCATGGGGGCGCTAGGGGCGCCGCCCCCCCTCTTCCCACATTAAAAAAATATATATATATATATTTAAAAAATATATTTTTTATTTTAATTTTAATTTTTAATAAACAAGGTAAATATTATATAATTGGTATCAGTAAAATGTATAATCTACAATAAAATCTCGTTTAAAATTGTGTTACGATGTCTAAAGTTACTGATAAGTCACATGTTTCCTGCCTGGCCTTGCCCGTGTATCATTACTCCCTCTCGTCTGGGCGCTGTGCATAGCGCCCAGACGAGAGTGCAGCAAGTGCAGCAGAAGCCAACTGTTGCTATCTTTAAACTATGCCGCCGAAACATAATTTCAGCCAATCAGCGTCGTCAAATCTGATGGTCACAGGGCTCCTCCGTGAGCTCCCGGTGCGGTCTGTGAGTTGTTTGGACTCGTATCCAAGGAGACAAAACAGGAAGCTGTCATACACTCTGGAAGCTACCATTAGCAGCTAATGAAAACTCAGTTTTTTACATAAAAATTGAATTATGGATCATCAATCATTTTTCAAAGTGACAGACACATTGGATTAACCTATGGATTAACCTTCAGCTGCGTTTTTCTCGTTTTTGATCAGAATTGTTATTCTGCAAAAGGTGAGCATATCTCCATGTTTTGCTACCTAAAGCTACGTCGTGTGATGTCTGTATTTGCTTCCCCTGTCGCGAGTTCTGATCGCTCAGTGATGATACTTATATTTCTAGAATATGTGGAATCTCAGCTTGTAAGCTTGTTTGTGCATATCCGATAAGTATATCGATTGATTTATACCTAGAGTGCGTTAGCATTTTTTCGCTCAGGGCTTATTTAGACGCTTCTTGTGAGACTTGTGTTTTGTTTCTGTAAACATGGTTCATATCATCAGTTAGATGCGTTTCCTCTGAGTAGGACACATGAATAGTTTATTACATTTTAAGAAGCCCTGAGACACAGTTTCGTGAGAAAAAAAACGGGGGAAAAAAGCCCCTTAACAGGTTAAATGGGAATTAAATCAGTGTTCCCAAAGCCCCGGTGTTCTGCAGTTTGTGTGGGCCTACTGTACTGTTGCACAGTTTATGCTGTAGAAACTATGTCCAGGACAAGGTGTTTGGAAGTTTTGGAAGTTTCATAGCTAACCACACTGAAGTTATGGAGGTATTGATCAGTCTTCTCATATTTTTAAGCCTCAAATTGTCCTTCTCCCCCCCTCTAACATCACCAGAAGTCATGATTTAAGGGGTCTTTTCTAAAAAAAAATTACCGGGGGAGCATCCCCCCGGACCCCTCTAGTATTGTTTGATCACCATTTCCACAGCCCCACCTAAAATATTTTCCACCAGCCGCCACTGTCCACTGCACACATAATCTGAAATAACAACTCATATTTCTCGCATCAAATGACATCAAAACGCATTTTAATGGCCAAACTAACCTTAAAATAGGCATTTTCTACCGAGAATAAAACGAAGGTCGGCCATGTTTTTTTATTTCTGCGGAGAGAAAGTTGAAGATCACGTGACATAGACGCCAGCCATTGGAAATGAATGGTGAAACAAAACGTAGGGATCCTACAATTTCAGAGGCGTTTTTGTAGAAATACTACGTCCCAAGTTGTGGACCAACGTAGTTATTACACGTTTAGATGTGAGACTGGGTTGGTTCGCCACTAGTGTTATGTTGGCTCATATAGGCCGTTTTTTTATTGATTTTAATTTGATAAAAGATTAGACACAAAATGAATTATTTAAAAGAGGATGCTGCACAACATGTGGAGCGTTGTGGACAATAACCGTCAGTCACTCACACTCCTTTTTAGTTTTACGGGATAATATGGGACATGCATTATGTGCAATAATGTTATGTTACTTGCATGCCTGCTTATATCTTTTGACATATTTCTGATTTCGACCTTATTTATATTTTTGTATTTGCACACTTTGCATTGTTTCTTACTTCAGCTGTGCTTCAAGTGCACAGGTTCCTCTAGAGCAAGTTTTAGAGATTTGAATTTTAGTTTAATAATAAAGGCTGGACCTGTAATGTCAACATGTCAACATAACTATACCTGTGTCCAGAAATAGTTAAATACAATTAATAACTAATAACATTTCCTTAATCCTATTGAATCTGTAGCTTTGACATACATAAACAGTCACTTAAAGAAGTAGGGTCATTTGCTCAATAAGGGAACTAAATTGGCTATCAGAAGGAATTAATAATCATTACAAAAAAAAGTTAATTAATATATTTAATATCATTATTAATCATATAAATAAGTATAAGTAATTAAACCAAGTTGCGTCTCTCGGGGAACCAAAAACCCACCACATGACTTTTATATTCAGATGACCCACACCATGTTTATTACATTTTCCATATCACATACAAGTTTAAACAAACACGTTGGAATTGTCCCATTCGTCCATGAAAGATGGATATCATAAGAAACTTCTCACTAACTGTTTTTTTTATACATACAGATACGTTAAACGCATGTAGTGAATATGGCAAAACAAAATTCCCTCTACAAATATTTATCTTTTCATTATTACCATAAGTAATAAGGCACATTTTATTTAAGTCTTACAATTGTAATCCAAAATAATATTTTTCCAGGAGCTATTTATTTTGTTAAGATACCCTGTGTATTGATTAATTGGCTAATAAGAAGAAATAACATGCCGATTATGATTTAAAACTGTACATTTTCCGTTTTATCAATCAGGCTGTTAAAAAAAATTCCCAGATCATCACTCAATGATCAAACGCAGTATTGTTTCCTTCCACCACACCAACATTATTTAATAACATGCAGTTTTTCCCCGTTTCTACTTTGGTTAATATGAAGGTGAATTTGGCCAGCACCTCTGGAACATATTCCTTCTGATATTCAGATAGCCACACTATTTTCTACCGTTTCTGGATCGATGTATGTGTATGGGACCTTCAGGGGCACGTTTCTAAGACGGATGTGTGCACTCAATGTTTGAAGCTCTCCTTGATAGGCCTTCATCAGCTCGTAGGGGGTCGTGTCGTCAAAGTCGGCATCAGGGTAGTGGCCAAGATGTACCTGATGACATCAATTATACATCAAAAAATAAATGTTCCTGCTCAAATTTAAATGTATATCAAACATAAAATAACATCTGGCAATATATATATAATGCTAATAATATTAATTGATTTGATACAGCATCTGAACATCTTGAGGTGATATAGGTAATTTATTTCACAGGAAGTTTTGGGCACTTGCCCAAGTGGCTGAGTAGCCACAAGGTGACCATTGCTTTAGCTGTCTGACCCTTGTTAGGCAATGTCTGCAGCATTGTTTCCTCACTTGTTGTCCCCTTTCTGGTTGGTGGAGGAAGTTGCATTGTGGAGGGAGCGTTGGGCATCCAGCCACCATAGTCATACTGCAATGAATTAATATTTTTTTGCCATTACATTTAAAACAAAATATGTGCAGACATTAATTGTCCAGAGAGGATGTGGAGAGGAGATGACAGAGTTTTCTGTAGTGCCTCCTTGACGTTCAATGTTTTTCTAAAGAAATATCTTCACTATTAAGAAAGAAAAGAAGAAGAAGACAGAGCCACATGCAGGATAGGAGAGGTGGCAGAGTGAAGAGGCTAGGGAGCAGTTACCAGGAGATGAACTGGCTCCAGCTACCAGTGCACACTCCTCATTTTCTTTTGGTCTGATCGGACTAACCCTTCGGTTCCCAGGCCAAGTCCCTGAGACTGAGCCAATGCCGCTCTTATTATATAGTATATTATATTATATATCCCTCAGCCCTGTGTCCTGGATATTTTGTGTTAGCTCTTTCTGCTACTATGGTAAAGCAGCGTTCAGTTATTATGCTCCAAATATCTGGAACAAACTCCCAGAAACCTGCAGGTCCGCTACAACTCTTACTACTTTTAAATCCAGGCTGAAGACTTATCTTTTTGCCGCTGCTTTTAATTGAACTATTCACATCTTAAACTGCACTGTAACTTTTTTATTCATGTATTTTTTCTTTTAATGTTTATTTTATTATCTTTTCTTTTTAATTACTGTTTTTAAATGCCTTTGTCTGAATGTCTTTCATTCTTGTAAAGCACCTTGAATTGCCTTGTGTTCAAAGGTGCTATATAAACTTGCCTTGCCTTGCCTTGCCTTACTACATCCACAAACTCACAGTACCTGCCCGTTTTGCAATAAAACCTTTTTTAAGTAATACAACTCCTGTTTCTGTTCTCATTGTTTTGCATTGTGGGTTCAATCCAGTTGCTCTTGTGAGTTTAACAGCATGTTATAGTTTGTTGGTTTTGGCTTAAAGCCTCACTGTGTCTATCTACAGCCTTGCTGACTTGCTAACATAGCTTTCAAATATTATTTATTTCAAAGACTTGCTTACAATCCTCTAAGTCTAATGTAATGTGTTTTAACATAATTCATCCATCGTTCTCCAGAAGAGAAAAATACTAATAAAACCTCATTTACCCATTCCACACAAAAACATAATAATTGTGGTATATTAGGAGGCTTTACCTGTCCAGTGTTCACGGCTGAGTGCTGTCCTGAGCAGGTGAAGATCACCATGGTGACAAACTTCACCAACTCTGCCACAGTGGTGAAGCTCTGTGGGATCCCTGAGAACCAGAGGGAAGTACTGTAAATGCTTTACTAAGATGCCTTTTTTTAAATAATCATATTACAATGGTACATAACTGTGCACAGTTATTATCTAAAACATGTAGCTTTTCTTTAGCCCACCTGTTGATGATCGGGAAAGAAATCCATATTTGAAGATTTCTGAAATCCAATCCTGCAGATGTTCGTCCTTCCAAACCTCGGCATTACTCTCGTAGTGGAAGCTGAGCATTCCCTGCACAAACCTGAAATGTAAAACACATTTCTAGCTGGTGTATTATACACACTGCACTAGTATGACACTCTGTAGAGCAGGGGTCTCCAACCTTTCTTCATCTGAGAGCTACTTTGAAAAAATGAAAGTGGCCAACAGCTACTTGCATCACATCGCTTACATTTATTCACATAGCCCTCATCAGTTGAATTAAGCTATACTTTTGTAGACGTGTGAAATTGCAATACCTAAAGCTTATCACAAATCTTAACTTCACATCAAGGTCCAAGAAAACGAAAATGTCTCACATATTATTATGGCCCACGTAAGTACATCACTGAGAATTCACATAAATGTCCTTAATCACCACCTTACAAGCATCTTATGGCAAATAAGTGCATTCACTCTTTTTCACAGTTAGTGAGATGACTGGCACTGCATGGAGTCCACCATACAGGTGTATGCTGGAGTGTACCCACTTAGGTTCACTCTAATAGAGTCATTTAAATGTTCATCAGTCAGTCTTGTTCTGTATTTAGATTTCATGACATTCATGTCAGAAAAAGCTGCTTCACAAAGGTATGTAGAGCCAAATAAAGTAGACATTTTCAGTGCTGCTTGGTGAATGTTCTTATAGTTTTCTGGGTCTACAAGGCTCCAGAAATGTTGTGAGTTTTGCTGAGACTTAAGCTGAACATTATTTTGGAGATTTATAACCTCCATCTCCACAGGATTGACAGTGAACAGTTCAGCCATCTTTTTCTTCTTCTTCTTCGTCTTTACATTAAATTATAAACCATAATAATCCATAATAAATCAATTGTATAGGTCTAGCCTATTATCTTATTGTTATTATGTTATTATGTTGCATTGTTGGAGAAGCCTGTGACATAAGATTTTCAACTACATAATTACTCTGTAGCTATGTCAGATTGACAATAAAGAACCTTGAACCTTGAACCTAGCCTCCCTATATCTGTGTGTGAAATTGTTCCATCCTCAAAAACAAAAAACTAATACTTCTGCAGTCTAGCTGCAGCTTCTAGCAACGGTCTTCTGTTAAAAAAAGACACTGAATGTCTTGAATGTGGCATCACAAACATGACTTGAGTCTGAACCTTTATATATACAGTCTATGGTCTGAACACAGCAGACAACAGGAGTATTTACAACAGCATTATAAAAACAAAAATAGTGCATGTGGGTGCACACTTACATTCTCTGTCTTACTGTTACATAAATCCCATGAATGTATGAGATTAAGTTAGCTTCATTATATCTCAATCAGTGATTAAGTGAATAATAAAGTTTCTATCGGGTCACTATCAGCCTGTCACTCATTATTTTCAGGGAGGGGGCGGGGTTTGGAGGAACGGAGAGGAGACGGTGATCGCGGAAGCTTTCCTCCTGCCTTCACAAACTTTACACAAGTATTTATCAACTGAAAATAGCAAGAAGACGTGTTGAAGAGCCCTGCTGTAGAGACATCATTGAATGGCCCATTCCTTTAGAAGAGTCAGGTCTGTGCTTTTGAAGATTTTGGTGAAATATTTGACAAAGAAGATCCTCACTTTGAGGAATAGTTTGACATTTCTTAAGACATGCCAATGTAGCTTTTTTGCTGAGTGCCAGCTTAACCTGGCTTCCATGATGCATACCACCAATGGGTGTCACTCTGTTATGAAAATTGGTGCCTCAGCCTACAGTGGGGTTACTCAATAAGCACACTAACACATACTGTAACACATCCACCAACAGTTGTAAGATTATCAGGTTCTTCCACTAATCCTACACACACACACACACACACACACACACACACACACACACACACACACACACACACACACACACACACACACACACACACACACACACACACACACACACACACACACACACACACAGAGCAAGAGAGAGAGAGAGCAAATCAATATATTAACCTTATATCGTTTTGTTTTAGTTTTTCCTGCCCCACCATTTTTTATCCATGTTTGACAACAGTCATGTGACCATTGTAATGTGAGTAACCATGGACGCCGCTGGATAGTCATACTGGGTTCACAATTATTGTACGTTCTGCTAGCTAGCTACACCACTGGGTTCCCAGAAATACACCCACCAACTGAAAACGAATAAACGGTTCTCAAGATGGTAGATGTAAATAAACCTTCTCAAAGTGTTGGGAACCAATTGGTTTTATAGGTGTATGTTTGACACTTTAAGGAATCTTAGGCCCAGGCTCCACGGGAACGCATACGGCAAAACGCATAGGATTAACGCAAACGCAATCGCCAAAAAGCTTCCGTCCACACGCAATATACACCGGATAGTGTCTTGCCACACGAGACAGCTCCGTTTAGATCCAACCGCTGGAAAAGCTGCAGTACATATGCCGAGCCTGTACGTGGCGCTGTAACTTCCTCCACAAAAGCAGCGAAGAAGAATGGTTGTCATGGCTGCACTTCTGTTTATTCTCTCTTAAAGTCTTTGTAGCCAGGCCTCATGAACCAAAATATGGAGCACACTTCTGCAGATGGGGAATGGAACACAATAAACTCTAATTCTGCATTTGTATTTTCAAGTTGCTTTACTGCAGGACTAGTGCTCTTTGCTGGGGCAATAACTGCATTAAAACAGATCCATAGCCTTTGTGCGTGCCAGCGGATCTATCCTTTATTCATTGACATAATTAGTTTTATGTGATTCAGTTGTTTGTTTGTTTCAAACAAACCTACCCCTAAGCATCATCTGAGTCTTTATCGCATGGCAACTACAATATACATTATTTGCATCCCTAGCACATATTATTATTGCAGAATAGAAACTGCCTACACTATGATACCTTTGGATGATACCCCAGAGCTTGAGTCCATCATCCCTGTAGTAGAAGTTGGGCACAGCCTCCAGGCCACGCTCAGTGATGTCCTCTGGTATGCAGAGGGAGCTGTAGGTCAATGAGGACAGTGATCGCTTCAGGATGGTCTTCAAAGCCTCTCCACCAGAAGATACAAACTAGGGAACAGTCAATATTTCGGGATATAAACAGACAAAACAGACAAATACTGTACATGATATTAAAAAAGTTGGTCTTTCCGTACCTGTGAGAAAGATCCATTCTCAGATATGAGGTGGTTTCGAGCTAGTACGTTGATTTCCAGAGTGTACCGATTGTGAGGTAGGAGCAGCTGGAAAGAGGGAACTCTGTTAGTTGCTATTAAATGCTAACAAAGAAAGCAAGTTGAAAAAATACAGCTACAGTTAATCAAGTATTATTATTCCAGGTACCTTATGCAGTAGATGTTCTCTTGGCACATTGCGCATCAGTGACACTGTGAAGACTTCAGCCAGCAGATGTGTCCGCAGCAGGTGACCATTGATTTCATGCAGGTTGAAATCTGCACTTCTCACAAAAATCTTGGCCATCAACCAGTCGTACTTAGAATCAGTAGGCAGGAAGATGGGGTTGTCTCCTGCTGGAGTCTGCTTCAGCTGCAGGAGAAGGAAGGGTGATGTGGTTCCTTCAATCCATTGATCCATTTTCTGTAATTGTTGTTTCTTTGCCTATTTACTATAACTTTTCTCTGCTTTTCAATCAATCTGTTAATCGCTTAAATATGGAAGTTAGTCCACGTACTGTGACTTAATTCACTGCTTAGGTCATCAATACTCCTATATCTTTACATAGAAAGTAGTTTCATAGCAACTATGTTGCTCAGGAGGAAGAGCGCCGTCCACCAATTGTCGGGTCAATGGTTTCAATAGTGCCCTCGGACAAGAAGCTGATCCCTAAATTGTTCCCGATGGAATGAATGGCCAATTGGGGTGTATATTAGTCTCCCCTAATTAGTGTGTGGATGGATCAATGCTGACATGAGAGTAAAGCGCTTTTATTGGTGCCAGAGACTGGAAAAGTGCTATATATATATATATATATATATATGTACTGCATTTATATAGAACCTTTAAGGGGAAATATACATTTTCATTGAAGCCCATGTCAGACCAAAGGGTTCACTTTAGAGTAGCAGCCCCACGTTCCTTTGTCTTTTATACATCAATGCTTTTGTGTCTTGTAAAAAAAAGTTGATCCGACTCAACTATTCCTGCCTGGCTCTGGCTCAAGCAGGAATAAATAAACGTAGAGGCCGACTTCTTCTACAGTTTGAATGGTAGTTGAATCAATCAATGCATAGATCTTTTATGTTAGCTACTTGAGTGCAAATCTCACCTGAATAGCGAGTGGCATCAGCTCATCATGAGGTGTTTTATGGAGCAGGACGAGGGGAGCCGCCATGTACTGCTGCTTCCCATCAATGATGTTTGGTGTCAGTCCATCCAGAAGCTTGTAGTCACACAGGAATATGTTGCCTTTCTGTTTTAGAGAGGATGAGTAACAATTTGAATCACATCAACACAGTATATATTACACATACTAAATGAACATGTCATTGTGACAGACAATTCTTAATTCACCATGTCATTGGGCAAAACACTACTGAGAGTATCAAGACACTCACCTTCATTTCCTCTACCAAGGTATACAGACCTCCGGAGAAGACCATCTCATCAGTGACAGGAAAGTTGTTGGGCAGAGCTGAACAACGTCGGATCAACATGGGGTTGACACCATTTAGGAACTGGTAGCCAAAGAAAGCGTCCTCTTTCCAATGTTCCTGGACCCGGCCTGGACAAAAGAGCTGCACTTAGTTGAGTTTATGATTTTCTTTTATAAAAATCTTCCACATGATTTACCATTTTCGGTTACAAAATCAATTAATAATTAGAAAATCTATGATTGTACACCTGATAAGGAGTTCTTGGTCCATAATATTGCCTTGATATGATCAAGATCAGTCCAGTTCTCTTTGGAATCAGCAAGTCCCCATAGCTTCATCTCACCCATACTAGAAAAAAAACCTTTATTAAAATACAATCACTGTATTTGTAGGTAGGTAGGTAGGTGTTTTGAAGACTTCACCCTGTCACGAGATCATATGCAAACTCCGCAGTCTTGGTCCTGGAGAACCTGACCTCCGAAGGCAGAGACAAAAACGTTTTTGCCTTCATGCAATAGGGCATTCCTTCTCCATACAAATGCCAGCTGTGATAAATAGAAAAAGGTAAAGTGGTGAGGCCGTTATTAGCTGTTAAAACTACCACTCTAATGCTTAACAAGGGGGAAACTGTACCTACAATTTTTTTTTATACTCATAACCCCTGGTACAACAATGTCACATTGTGATTCATTGTCCTTACATATCATGAATATATTTACCCAAAGGTGGAGGAGATTTGGATACATGTTATCTTTGGAATAAATACAATTAAAATGTGAATACGCTCTGAGCTCTTACTGATAGTATTTATTTCGCCAATCCGGGTCCATAAAGTACCGACTGCGTTTTGCCTTAGAAGGCGTAGTCGGAGCTTAAAAAAATAATCAAAAAAAGATTTAACATGCAGAATTGTCTCTGGACTCCTTATAGACCAGCTTGAATAACTTGTTGTAACTTAATGTCTTCTGGTAAGTGAACATCGTACAGTACAATAAACATTTTCACAAACTTTTTTTTTTTTTTTCCTCATCGAAGTTTTGTACATCAGTGGTAGTGATGGAGCGGAAAATGGGAAACTTGTAGGTGACTCCCTCAGGGGATTTGACTACCACCTTGACAGGGAACCAATCATCTTGTATTTCTGGTGGCTTTTTGTCTAGCTCTATCCCATGCAGCTCTCCAATGGAGACAGGGCAGGAAACAGTGAAAGAAGACACCTGGTGTAATGACAGAAATTGTTTGGAAACATTGATACAAGAGATAAAGTGTATTTGATAACCAATAAGCTTTGACATCCAAATGATTATCACAAAATGACTGAATGTATAAGGGTTGAGAAAATAATAAAAATGTGCGCAATACAGAAGATATGTTCACTGTCTTTGCTTCCTCTTCCCAGAGAGCAACTAGATGTCAAGGCTGCAGAGTGTTCCTTGTATGAACACTTACCTGTGCTATCTTGTATTTCAATCTTATTCATGTTGCTTAATAAACACCTGAATTACCCTACAGGAATAATTAAAGGTTTCTATTATTTGAGTTTCTGTAAATTAGAACAAGTGTGTGTGTTATCTCTTGTTCAGTTTGAGGAAGCATGTTAAAGCCTTTGTTTAAAAATAGAAAGGCATATTTAAGACTTACAGCTCCTGGGATGAAAGAGGAGTCTCCATCAAGCCAGATGCGTTCGCTCGCCCCATATATTCCCTTCAGCTTAATGTGGACCTTGTTTGAAGTGCCGGCATCATCGAGGCAGGCAGTGGATACTGTCACTTTATAGTCCACCATTTTCACTCTGAAAAGCAGAAGAATCCTGGTTGTGAGAGAACTATAATAACCATTCAGTACTAATACGAGTAACTGTGATTACATCAACCTCAGTGCAAAGAAACCCTTCAAATTCTGGTATCATAATTAAAATGACTTAAGCAAAAAGTATTATACAACTAATATAAAATGTCCCACTGAATGTGTTACTGTCCAGTCATTGCTTAACTGATCAACAATCACAAAGCATCTTTCTTACCTTTTAATGAGAGCGAGAAGTTTCTCTGAAGAAAGGCTCTTTCGATAAAGGTAATCCCCACTGATTCTGCTATTTATACTAACAGTTTGTGGGAGTGTCCAGAAAGAAGTAGTAGAACTAGAAAATGCATACGGAACCGACTAACTCCCCTTTTGTGTATGTACAGCTCTCAACATGGCCAGACTTGTAGTGATTTTCTCCTCGTTTAATACTTTTCGCCTCATTCTGAAAGAAAGAGGCGAAATGTGCTAACGTGACGGCCGTCTTGGTGTTGGTAACGTGTATTGTGCGAGACCAGAGATGTAGTTCATTGAGCGGTTTCACACACAAAAAAAAGTGTTACTTCACAGTTGTACGACCATTTATTTATTTTTTACTTGCAAAATTATCTTTACTTAACAAACATCATATGTGTAATTCATGAAACAATTCAAACGGGATCGAAAGATAATTTTCCTCTCACCATTGACTTCAATACATCATTTTTAACTGCTTTTGAAGTTGACATGTTTTGGTACATGTGTCTGAACCTCTCTTTAGTGGTTCATAATAAAACAGATATTTTAACGTGTGCCTACTTTGTTCATGTACTGTTGAGGTTAATTTCAGTAGGTGTGTGCTATAATGTATTTACAAAGTGTGAAGAGGAGGCAACTTTAGAATAGGGAACCTGTTCAGGTCAAGTAGAGTCAAACTACTAGCTTATTGGTTATGAACAAGACTTCACTTTAAAATAGGGAACATATTCTTAGATAGAAATACCTAATTTTGAGTTATTTAGACTTAATTAACACTTGTATTTTCATGTCTTGTTACATAAGAAGAGATCATATTTATTAAGTGTTATTATGGGAGAATTACTATTCTTGTGGTACTACTGCCTTATTAGGCCCATATTGAGCAGCGCATATTAAGACCAAAACTCATGTACAAAAACGTCCTTACAAGACCAGGCTTTTTTTAAGCAGGAATTATGAAAATAATAATAGAATGCTGACACTTTTTTCCGGCAAAAAAACAACAAATGCATTATGTGTGCAGACATTAGGCAGTCTTGTACTTATATTTATTGACATGGAAGTCAATGAGGAAAAATACTTACATGATTGTGTATAGAATTCAGCACGCCAGATCAGCAGAAGCTTCCTCGCTCATTCAAAATATCAGTGTAGCTCACTGTGTTCAAGTAAATGATGACTTAAAAGCTGCTGTGAGTTTATTTTGTACTGGCTAAAACACTTTTCACATGAAACATTAAAAAATACATGTTGGACATTATCTTATAATGAAGCGATATGTTCAAAACCTTTTCTGGACAGTCAAGGTTATTTTGTCTGAGTGAAACATCCCTTTAGTCAGCTGAGCTGAACAGTTACTGCAACTGAGAAACCACAGGAAAATAAACAAATAATGTTTTTTAAGGCAACGGTATGTGATCTGAAAAAGATAAATATGTGTTTTCTCTCTACCCATGAATTCAAAAACAAATATACTAATAATAATAACAAAAAACCATCACTTCGGAGTGGACCCAGGTACAGCTGAAAAAAGACATGTATTTTTGCTTCACGTATAGACAGCAGAGAGTCTACACATCTTGCGTTGTAAACTGAAAACCCACCTGTTTCACTTTTACCTTGGCTGATAAAAAAATAAAATGGTACTTATGAGTCTTTCTTATGCATCAGCATTTTCAATGGTCCGGCTCGTTTGAAGTGAATGTGTCAGCAGTTTTCTTGGTGTCCTTAGTATGAATCCTTATGGTTTACTGCCCTTATTGTAAGTCGTCTTGGATTAAAGAGTCAGCTAAATGCAATCTTATTTAATGAGAGCATTAAAGTGGACACTGTATGTGTCCACTTTAATGTACAATACATTTTGTATTGTAATTTATATTACATACATTCTCAGCAAACCAAAATGCAAACTAAACCAGTCGAAGCTTGTATGTTGTTTGCTGTCAGTGTTTTATAAGTATTCTCGTTGTGCAACCTGAGGTTTTATCAGTTATAGAGTCGTTTTTCTCTGGCATTTTGTAGGAAAAAAAGACAAGGTGAGAGGGCAATTCTATGGATCTCAATGCTTGAGAATCTGTATACTTGAAAAGGAATATGTTGCCTGAATCATGCACTTACTTGCCTTTTATCGAAACCAAGTTATTCAGCAATCCTTAAAGTGGTTTAATTAAATTTGACGAACTGTCACTGCCAGCACCTCCTTCAGTTATGTGGTGACGATGGAAAGGATAATTTGTCACTTTTGCTTTGTTGGACAATATCCAAGGTTAATCAACAAGTTCCAGATTTCCTGAGAATCATTGAGCATTGTTTACCATATTAAAACGAATCAACACAGTTAGCGATAGCTATCAGTTGAGTGCCTGACAGGGGAATTTCCTAGATACAAAGAAATATGAATTAAGCTACTGTACATTGCAGTTATCGATAGCAACATTTTGGGCTTGACAGCTCTGGTTTGGCTCAGAGTGGTCAATAAGTGGCTTTCTTTCTGCTTTCAGGTCAAACAGAGCCAAAGGGCTATTCTCTACACTGCAGATGTGGATAGCAACATCTTGGGCTTGCCGGCTCTGGTTCTTTTGGTTGGTCCTGCCAACCATGGCTCAGATTGTTCAATTAGCCGCTTACTTCTCTGCTCCGATTTAGTAAGTTTACCCACTTACAAAGAAATGAACAGTCTATTATTTTAATGGTATTTTTATTTTACTAATGAGAGACAGAATATCAAAACAAATATCCAGAGATATATATTATATAAGAGATATAAATGGATTTGCATTTAATTGTGTAAAATAAGTATTTGATCCCCTTGCAACCAACAATAATTCTGGCTCCCAGAGATAAGTCCTCTTCCTTTAAAAAAGTACTCAGAATATCAACTTTGTGGGGGAAACTTCTGAAGCAATTGGAAACAGGACTCAGAGAGACACGAGGAGAGCTGGAGCTTTGATGGCAAACACTGATGGTTTATTTGGAGCTTCGGCCGGAGAATTCACAAGACAAGGCACGGGTCACGGTCTGACCACACGGTTGAGATGCCACAATCAATTCTGAAGAAACCTTCCTCTCGTATGATGTTTTAACTAGTTTCGCTAAGGGTAATCAACATTCTTCATTAGTTAGACTAAACAGCTGAGGACACTGAATCACATTTGTTGTCGCTTATGGCTCGGGGTCATCTACACCCCGAGAAGAATGTGTTCTAGGTGTCCCACAACAATAACTATCTCTGACCGAGAGTTGCCCGGTCATAAACTGGTAACATCAACACTATGCTAGGGCAGCCCCTCCTTAAGGGAGACAACGGCTGCCAAAGGTTGGGCATCAGCGTCAGAGGGCAAAAGGTAAACATCTATGGAAATTATTCCATGACTAACTTGTTACCTGCATGAAAGACACCTGTCCACAGAATCAATCAATCAGATTCCAACCTCTCCACCATGGGCAAGACTAAAGAGCTGTCTGAAGACCTCAGGGGTAAGATTGTAGACCTGCACAAGGCTGGGATTGGCTACAAGACCATCAGAAAGCAGCTTGGTGAGAAGGAGACAACTGTTCGTGCGATCATTCTGAAATGGATGTAACACAAAATGAGCATCAGTCACCCTCGGCCTGGCTCCACACAAGATCTCGCCCTGTGGGGTATTGATGATCATGAGAAAGGTGAGGGATCAGCCAAGAACTACACAGGAGGAACTGATTAATGATCTCAAGGCAGCTGGGACCACAGTCACCAAGAAAACTATTGGTAACACACTACACCATAATGGATCAAATCCTGCAGCGCCTGCAAGGTCCCCCTGCTCAAGAAGAACATGAAAGGCCCATCTGAAGTATGACAATGAACATCTGAATGATTCCGAGAAGGCTTGGGAGAAGATGAACTGGGCAGATGAGACCAAAATGTAGATCTTTGGCATAAACTGGAAACGCTGTGTTTGGAGGAAGAGAGATGCTGACTATAACCCCCAGAACACCATCCGCACCGTCAAGCATGGAGGTGGAAACATTGTGCTTTGGGGGTGTTTCTCTGCTAAGGGGACAGGACCACTTCCCTGCATCGAGGAGAGGATGTACAGGGCCATGTACCGTAAAAATATTGGCCGATAGCCTCCTTCCCTCAGCCAGGACACTGAAAATGGGTCATGGATGGGTCTTCCAGCAGGACAATAAACCTGAACATACGGCCAAGGCAACACAGGAGGGGCTAAAGAAGAAGCACATTTAGGTGAGGGAGGGGTCTAACCAGTCTCCGGACCTTAATCCCATACAAAATCTGTGGAGGGAGGTGAAGCTTCGAGATGCCAAGCATCAGCCTCAAAGAGGAGTGGAAGCTATATGCTATGTAATTTAATGAGAGCATTTAAATGGACACTTTATTTAATTTACCTGTACAATATCATGTAAGCACTGTCATGAATTCTGCCATTGCAAAGTGTGTAATGTTCAAGTTTAGTTGTCACTGTCAGACATTGTTTTATTTAATTTGTGAGTGTTTAAAAAGGAGGACGGGTCCAAAGTGTTACAATGTCCTTTGAGCTAACCTACCCAATACAGTAATGTACAGTAAAAAAATGTTATTGCCATTTACATTACATATGTTCTCAGCAAACCAAATATGCAAATAGCAGGCGAGGCTTGCATGTTGTGTGCTGTCAGTGATCTCTTTATGCAACCTGGCATGATATCAGTTGTAGATTTGTTAAAGTGGAATACCTTAACGTAATCTGCCCTTCCTTTCATTGGACACTATCCAAGATTGTTTGAACAAGTTCCTGAGAATCATTGACCAATTTATTTCATCATGAACACAATAGGGATAGGTGGTATCAGTTGAGTAAATATCCTAGCTACACAGAAATATAAATAATAAGATCTCTATATGTAACAGATGTAAATATGCAGTGGAGTTTATTTAATTTAATTTTGTATAATCACACAAATGCTGTGTTTTATATTATTTTATTCTGTGTTCTTCATTCTATTGAATGTTAAATACCTGGCAAGGACGGAGATCAGTGGGCGGAACCTCTGAAGTGTGGTCGCTGTGCTCAGGAGTTTATTGTTGGGAGGACTTTCCCCCCTATATATTGTGTCCCTCATGTTTCCTCTTCCCTTTTCGTAAAATGTTCCACGTGAGAGGAGTCTCTGTGAGGGAAATTGATGTAAAACTGATCGTTTTATCTGTTGTCAGGTACGTGCCCTTTTCGTAAAATGTTCCACGTGAGAGGAGTCTCTGTGAGGGAAATTGATGTAAAACTGATCGTTTTATCTGTTGTCAGGTACGTGCCCTTTTCGTAAAATGTTCCACGTGAGAGGAGTCTCTGTGAGTAAAACTGATCGTTTTATCTGTTGTCAGGTACGTGCCCTTTTCGTAAAATGTTCCACGTGAGAGGAGTCTCTGTGAGGGAAATTGATGTAAAACTGATCGTTTTATCTGTTGTCAGTCATTAAACAGAGATCGTCTCAACTTTACGCTGGCTCGGGTCTCGTCCATTATCAACACAGCACAGAGACCGCTTAACCACACCGGTTACATATACTCCGGATGTGGATAACAACATTTTGGGCTTGCCAGTTGGTCCTGCCAACCACGGCTCAGATTGTTCAATTAGTCGCTTACTTCTCTGCTTTAAGGTCACACAGCGCCAGAGGCTATTGAGACTACTAGAAATACGTGATGAGAGATCAGATGAAGATAGAAACAATTGTAATATGGGTTTTCAGAGAATTACTAAATATTATTTGCATAATGCAATTTGGATAAGTAATCATTGTAAAATGACACAAGCAAGACAGAAACATAAGTATCAGGTTTGATATAGTTGTTTCTTTAAAACTAGGAAACAAGTCTTTTATGAAAACTAAATCTCTAATCTAAAGCTCTGAGCCAGAGGCATGGCTTCAGTGGGCTGAACACTGCAGCTCTTCAATGGTGAGCAAGTCTATCATTTGCAGAAGACCAGGCTTTTTTTAAGCAGGAATTGTGAAAATAATAATAGAATGCTGACACTTTTTTCTGGCAAAAAAACAACAAATGCATTGTCATAGTGTGCAGACTCTGTGTTTTCTCTCTACCCATGAATTCAAAACAAAAACAAATATGAACTAATAATAATAACAAAAGATAATCACTTCGAAGTGGACCCAGGTACAGCTGAAAAATACATGCATTTTAGCTTCACGTATAGACAGCAGAGAGTCTACACATCTTGCGTTGTAAACTGAAAACCCACCTGTTTCACTTGTACCTTGGCTGATAAAAAATAAAAAGGTCATTAAGAGTTTTACTTATGCATCAGCACTTTCAATGGTCCGGCTCGTTTGATTTGAATGTGTCAGCAGTTTTCTTGGTGTCCTTAGCATGAATCCTTATGGCTTACTGCCCTTATTGTAAATCGTCTTGGATTAAAGAGTCAGCTAAATGCAATCTTATTTAATCAGAGCATTTAAATGCACAGTACATTTTTTATTGTAATTTATATTACATACATTCTCAGCAAACCAAAATGCAAACTAAACCAGTCGAAGCTTGTATGTTGTTTGCTGTCAGTGTTCTCGTTGTGCAACCTGAGGTTTTATCAGTTATAGAGTCGTTTTTCTCTGGCATTTTGTAGGAATAAAAGACAAGGTGAGAGGGCAATTCTATGGATCTCAATGCGTGAGAAATTGTATACTTGAAAAGGAATATGTTGCCTGAATCATCCACTTACTTGCCTTTCATCGGAAACCAAGTTGTTCAGCAATCCTTAACGTGGTTTAATCAAATTTGGCGAACTGCCAGCACCGCCTTCAGTTATGTGGTAACAATGAAGAGTCTGTCATACTGGGTCAGGCTACAAGGAAGTGGAGAAGAAAATATTACAAACAGAATAATACAGGATTGCTGGGAATATGCAAAGTTCCAGGGACGTGGGTTTGGCTGGACGAGTAAGGAGAGAACGAGGGCATATGGAGTGGAGACCATCACGTTTGCCAAAGCAACCCCATTTAGTAGTGTTCCTCCATGGCTTTTCCCAGAAGCTAAAATAGATATGAGTATTGTAAAAAGGAAAAAAGAGTGGCAAATAAATGAAGTGGGAATTAAAACAAGTATGTATCTGAACGAAAAGTACTACAATTACCTAAAAATGTACACAGATGGTTCTAAGAACAAGGAAGAGTGTGTTGGAGTTGGTATACATCCCAGACTTTAAAATATCGATTTCAAAAAGAGCGTCTGATCAATTATCAGTGTATACAGCAGAAATGCTGGCTGTAATAATAGGATTACAGTGGGTTGAAGAGGTCAGACCAGATAGGGTGGTGATATGCACAGATTCATTGTCCATATTAAAAAGCATACAATCAACAACAACTGTCAAGACATCAAGACATCAAGACATTCTCATAGAACTGAATCATAGCCTGTTAAGACTGCACAGAGGCGGTATAGATCTGCAGTTCTGCTGGGTGCCTGCACATGAGGGGGTGAAAGGGAACGAGTGTGCTGATAAATTAGCTAAAAGTGCACTACAAAAGGAAATAACATTACCAGTTCAACTTGGAAAAGGAGAAGGAAAAGCAGTAATTAAGAAAAAAGGGATGGAGATCTGGCAGAAAAGGTGGGAGAAAGACCAGAAAGGCAAAGAGTATCATAAAGTACAAAAGACAATCACAATTAATATTTATAAAGAAAGAAACAGAAGGGAGGAAATCATGATAGCTAGACTCAGAATAAATCACACAGCTTTGAATGGTACGCTATATCATGGGGAAAAGTGACAGTGACAAGTGTGGGAACTGTGGAGTAAAAGAAGATACATATCTTGTTACATTGTGACATCTATAAAGCGGAAAGAGAAAAACTAAAGGCTAAAGTTTTAGAGGCAGAGAGGGAATGGAGTGTGGTTGGTGTTTTGGGAACAAAAGGAGAGGGAGTAAGAGCTACCAGAAAGGCACTGTTTACCTTCCTGAGTGAAACTGGGGTAGGAAAAATAATTTAACATTAGGTCAGGAAAGATCATGGATTTTTATAGTTTTATTTATTTCATGTTTTTTGTTTATTCATTTATTTTATTTTTGTATTAGACCATAGGTTTAGGGTTAGGGGTTAGGGTTATGGATGGAATGATATTATGATTCATACTCATGTACAGTAGGTGGCGGTATGCACCTTTAAAGTTGTTTGCAATCCGCCAAAAACCGAGAGAGAGAGAACAACAATACAGCATCACATGATTTCACTTCCGCAACTCATGCTGCTAGTGCTAACACATTAATTCAAAACATCAGTGGACTCAGGGAAGTAAGGACCGTAGCTGGATGTGGGGAATTCTGCCTTAAAGCTGCTTTATTTTGTTCTTAACCCGGACAACACGCCTCCTGTGAGGACCAACATGGCGCTGCTCGGATTTGGAAACATACTGCTGCTACTTCTGCTTTTTGAAAATTCAGTAAGTACCCTACTTCCTAAAGCTTTTTATAGCCTGTGGTTGACATGTTAGAAGCTATACCTGCAGCCTCATCCCCATGACATTAAAACACATATTATACCAGTGTAGCCTATATGTCACCGAAATGCAAAACAACCCTGATGAAAAAAACAGCTTAGACCAATTTATCTGGTCAACCAGCCTGACCAGCTAAATTGACCAGCCTGACCAGCCAGTAGATAGGTTGGCTGGTTTAGAGGGGTTTTGGACACTTTAGCTGGCCAGGATGGCTGGTTTAGCTGGTGCACCAGCTAAACCAGCTAAACCAGCCACCAGCTAAACCAGCCATCCTGGCCAGCTAAAAAAAACAGCATAGACCAGCATAGTATGCTGGTATGCTGGGCTGGTCACCAGCATCCATCTATCACCAGTTTATGTTTAATAATAGTATTAAACTTGTCCAGCCTGGTTAACCAGCTAAAACCAGCTAAAACCAGCTAAAACCAGCAACCATCTTAAGCTGGTCTATGCTGGTTTTTTCAGCAGGGAAAGGATTGGAACGTGGCGTCAAATTCATATGTTTTTAGTACAAAGAAATACACGACATTCAAGAGATGTTAATGTGAGAAAACAATGTTTAGATTCCACCAATGGTATGTTAACATCAGTTATGCTTTTAAAAATAATTGGTTGAGTTATTGTCAGGTCAATAAACAAAATGTATTTCATCTAGAAGTCAAAATCTTCAATATGTAAATTCCTGTACAACATGCATGGTCTATATGGCTAAACAACTTTCCACATGACAACATTTTAAAAACATGTTGGTTTGTATAGACAGTTTTATTCTATTTAAGCATTGTTCAACACCTTTATTATACAGTCAAGGTTAGTATGTGTTAATGACACATCCCTAGAGTCAGCTGAGATGTCAGCCCTGCACCATAAAAACATGAATCTTTAACCTCATAATGGAACACAATATAAACTGAATTATGGTGATGAGTTGGGATTTAACTGATGATGTGTTGATCTGCAGCTCGGGGCACCTGGTTCATTCAGCGTGGATTACCAGAGGGACTGCTTCCGAAAAGATGGGGAAGAGTTTCGTTTTATATCGGGAAGCATCCATTACAGCCGGATCCCCAGAGTCTACTGGAAGGACCGACTGCTCAAGATGTACATGGCAGGACTGAATGCCATCCAGACGTACGTTTACCTGTTGTCTTGCTCTCATTATGCTTCACTCTCATTTGTTTTTTTCATTTTTAGGTTGTTGTTGAGAGTGTGTCATGTTTCAACTGACTTCCATATCAAAACTAATCCAGGAGGAGGGTTTTAACTATTAAAAAATGTGTCGCATGAGAGAGACCTGTTGACATTGGTATTGCCTCTACAATCATTTGCATGTGATTGTGTTGCAGTCACTCAACACACATGTCAGCAGTCACATGCTGCAGTGTAGAGATATTTGGAAACAAGCTACAGGAAATTAATCTACACCAACTATGATCCATTCATAGTTTTAAATGATTTCCTAAAAATGGCATTCAATCTTACTGACATCACTCTTCCCAGTGTTTCATTTAGAAACAAATATCTGTATTGCATTACAGATAGGACACGTCTTTTTTTTGTGAAAAACCTGGTTCTATTTGTTTTTATGCAAGCTTATAGTGAGCTAGACTTTTTCACTTCACTCATTTCAAGATATTTAATTACACACATCATTACATTTATTGTATGTGGTTTTTATGACCATCTGAGATAAAATCCTATATCGTGCCATCCCTTTATATAATGCAGGGTTGCAAAACAAAATAGGATTTGTAGTCCCTTAATGACATACAAGAAAGACAAAACTGGCTTCAATAAAGATGAACAGACCTCATAAGGTTGCTGGTATTGACAGTAAAGTGGACAGAATAAAAGTGCCTGCACTGACAGTTGTCTTTAAATCTTTACCTGACACTGCATCGCTACACCTGATAGAAATGCTAAACTGAAAACTGAAACCCCTTATTGGTCGCATGGAATGTTATGTTATGTCGCATTCGATCAGGAGCAAGTATTTCACACTAGTGCAATTAATCAACTCGCCTTACCAATTGTTCGTACAGTTCGATATGTTTGATCGACATTTTTTATTTAACTTAATATGTATTCTCTAACAAACAGTATTGATACACAGTGGAATATGTATTCTCTAACAAACAGTATTGATACACAGTGGAACATCCTGGTCTCTTGCATATAATATATTAGTCAGCCAACATACAATCTGCTTAAATAACTTGAGTGTACAGTATATGCTTTCATAATACTCATACTTCATTACCATTTGAAGGTACATTCCCTGGAACTACCACGAGGAGTCTCCAGGCCAGTACAGTTTTAGTGGAGAGCGGGATATGGAGTATTTCCTTCAGCTGGCCCAAGATATTGGCTTAATGGTGATCCTTCGGCCTGGACCCTACATATGTGGAGAGTGGGACATGGTGAGTGTGGGTTATTAGTAAATGTACACCTTTTCAGTTTTTGATAGCATACTGGGATAATTAAGAAAAACTGACCTTACAGTATTGAACTCTTGAAAGTTTTCATAAGAAATGGTTGTACTTTTTATATCACTACACTTATTTTACAACAATGGTTACTAGTTACAGGGCATTAGGGCATTTATAGACTGAATTACCCAACAGTAAATAAACTAATTATAATCCTCTCCATCTTACCGTGTTTCATACAAAGGGATGATACACTATAACTTTATAAATACTTATCCCACAATTATTGTAATACGTTTACACTTCCATGAGTCCGGCTTTATTGGTGACAGCTGCAAAAGTTTGGACAAAGTATGGCAACATACACTGCAATTAGTTTGGACTGTCAAAGTAGCGTATTAGGTTTTTTAGGGGAAAATATGAGCGTTTGCAGCATGGATGAGCAGAAGCGGAGGGCGTTATAATGCGGGATTCATTTCAATATATCTGCCAATTCTTGGTATTTAGTCTCCACTAGAAGAACTAGTTAACATCTAACCTAATAAAACTAACAAGGACCACAATAATTAGGAAAAACTAGAACCATTTTATAACCACCCTTTGAATACATTTGAGGGTGTTTGAAACTCAAAACATAGATTCCTGGTGCAATAACACTTTAAATTCAATGTATTTATATATCCATTTCAGTTTCATCCAAACCTGCTGCCATTGTTTACATTATTCTGTCAACTAGGGAGGGCTGCCTGCCTGGCTTCTCAACAAGAAAGACATCGTGCTGCGGTCGTCAGATCCAGGTGAGAATATTTCAGAGAAAAACAGGATGCAGGAAGACAAATGTTATTGGTTACTGGTTTCAGTACATACAACGATGTAATGTGTTGCACACCAGCAAGACAGCATCTGCATAGCTTTAATAGCTTACCCATTTTTTTATTTCTCAACTTAGTGGTATTAACACTCTAGTCCCGAGCCTCTTTCCAGATAAATCCAGTACAGTGTAACTAGAAGTATGCTGAAACTGTAAAATAACACATATATCTAAAATCGGACAATCAGCTTTCTCTATAAAATGCTTTAAAATCTGGAACACATTTCCAACTGAAATCAAAATATTATAATAATTATAAAAGGTGATGTGCTGACCAAAAGGAACCCAGAGTTGAACCCATGTTTAAGAGATTGACTTTGAATTACCCATGTCTATTGCTGCATGTGTATTTATTGTATTTCTCCCTTTGTATTACATTGTGGTTTTATGAAAAGCTGAAAGCTGAAAGGGTTTAAACAACTAGGGACAAAAGTTGTAATTGAACCAATCTGAAAAATCTGTGAAGCACATCCTGTTTCCATGTCAAATGCATTATCACCGTCTTAAATTAATGAAATAAATATAATTTCAATGTGTATTTTAGATTACATCGCGGCAGTAGATAAGTGGATGGGAAAGTTACTGCCCATGATAAAGCCATATCTCTACCAGAACGGGGGTCCTATCATCACTGTACAGGTGAGTCCTGGGCTGATTCCTGCAGGTTTGTGTCTTTAGTTGTTGTGCATTACGTACAATTACAGTACTTCATGAATAAGTCATAACATCTCCCTCCTGCTGTGTCTGTGTGTGGTAGGTGGAGAATGAATATGGCAGTTATTTCGCCTGTGACTACAACTACATGCGTCACCTGACTAAGCTTTTCCGGTCCCACTTGGGCGAGGAGGTGGTGCTCTTCACCACAGATGGAGCTGGACTCAAATTCCTCAAGTGTGGCTCAATACAAGGCCTTTACGCCACTGTGGACTTTGGCCCAGGTCTCAACGCAATGCAAATGACACCAAATATTGATTGTGGTTTACAGGTTCGGTTATGTGATGATACAGTATGTTGTGTATAGTTGTATTTATCTTCAGATAAAATGCATTACAAACCAACTGAAATATTTTGAGATTCATGGGTCATGGTTTTCTTTCCACATTGACTTAGTGTCATGTGTTGGATTAGTCAGTAGGAAATCATACAAATACACGTGAGCTTATCTTTGTGTTTTAATCCTGTTAGGTAATGTAACGGCTGCTTTTAATGCACAGAGACACGCAGAACCTCATGGACCTTTGGCAAGTATTTTCCCTCGTACGGTTTGTGATTTCCAAACCACACAAGTGTTTCTCTCGCGCTCATAGGGTTTCCTCCTGCTTTAACAGGTGAACTCTGAGTATTACACTGGCTGGCTGGACCACTGGGGGTCTCCTCACTTTGTCGTGTCATCCGCCACTGTGACCAAGTCCCTCAATGAGATGCTGGCCATGGGAGCAAACGTCAACATGTGAGTCTACAGATGTACAGGTTCAGACACCCTGAAGGCATTTACTATTGCACTTAAGATGTCATTATGATGGGTGACATTTTACAAATATAAATACATGTTCTTGAAGTTAGAGAATGACGAGAGGCAATGTCTTGTTCTTGCAGTTCTAAGTTATTTAAATGTATTTGTGCCTCATTTCTGTTCATTTAACCTTAACTGCTCTCTTCACAGGTACATGTTCATAGGAGGGACAAACTTTGGATACTGGAATGGTGAGTGAACTTTAACAGACTTTGATGTCACAAAGCTACCTGGGATTTTTGTGCTGCTAAAATGATAACGCTAAGATGAACCTCACCCTGTGATTGCCTTTTGATATCTCAGGCGCCAACACACCGTACGGCGCGCAGCCCTCGAGCTACGACTACGACGCCCCTCTCTCTGAAGCAGGAGACCTCACAAAGAAGTACTTTGCTATTCGTGATGTCATCAAAATGGTAAGAACATTAGGCCTCTAGTTTTGCTTTTAAAATCACTTTAGCTGTTTTGTATCAAATCAAGGGGCTTTATTACTATTAAGAAAAGCGTGTAAGTTGTGTATGTCACCTGGAAGAACTTATTTATCTTTTGACAACAGTACCGTAAGATACCAGAGGGACCAATACCACCTACAACTCCAAAGTATGGATATGGGACTGTTGGGATGAAAAGGGTATGTTCACTTTGTTTCTATTAACTCATCAATCAAAAATGTTTGTTCACATGATTTAAAAAGTAAAATATTAATACTAAAAAGCAACCCTTTGCCTCCACAGCTCCAAACAATTTCAGATGCCTTAGAAATGCTTTCTTTCTCTGGCCCCATCAAAAGCATTTATCCTCAGACTTTCATCGAACTGAACCAGGTATTCATGTTTGTCTGTTTTCAGTAGTGAAAAATGTATTGTTGCATTCTTTTCAAGTTCACCAACAATATTTTGTCATATAATTGTAATTCATTCGTGGATATATATATATATATATATATATATATATATATATATATATATATATAACGTGTATTTCCTTCCTCTATCTCATGTACTGTAGGCCTTTGGTTATGTGCTCTACAGGACTAAACTTCCTGCTAACTGCAACACACCCACACCACTGTCGTCTCCTCTGAACGGCGTCCATGACAGAGCGTATGTGTCAGTGGACGGGGTGAGATTCATCGTTTCTTATCAGATGTTATATGCAGTTCCAACCACATGCCTTTTCTGATCATTGCTTGTCACCAGATTAGTTCAATTTAAGGCTCAGTACTTTATTGGTACCATCAGAATGTCCTGAGCACCATCACCATTTTACCAATTTTAGACAGGCTGATATTCTTGTACATTTTACAACATTAAACATTTGGAAACCTATCGCTGTTTTTTGTATAAATGGAATTTTGTTTTGGTGATTTTTTAATAGAATTAGATTATATTCACTACTATAAATAATGTAATGGCTAGTCCTAGCAAAAAATGTTAGCAAACTCTGAATATTTTTTTGATATAACCATTCTGATTTATTTTTCAGGTGGCTGTGGGGATTATTGAAAGGAACAAGGCCTTAACTGTCAATGTGACTGGGAAAGACGGCAGTCAGGTGGACATACTGGTGGAGAATATGGGCCGAATCAACTTCGGAAACCACATCAATGACTTTAAGGTTTTTTCCCTGCTACATTTTAAAGTTACTTTGTGTGTTTTGACATATGACTGCCTGCTTTTCACAGTCACGGAGATTTACTGGATATCAGTTGCAGGTTTGCAAAAGATAAAAGACTGTTTATTTAACTGCAACCAAATTATATTTTAGATTTGAATTTCACATTTCTTTGACACTTTACATTTTGAGCAAAGTAGGATATCAGTGTAATATTTTTTTGTAATATTTTTTGCTCTCCCCTGCACAGGGCCTGGTGTCCAACCTGACTCTGGGGAAAGACACGCTCACTGGCTGGACGATGTACAGCCTCAGCATCGATGAAGCGGTCAGTCAGGGCCTCCTCGGTGAAACCAAACCAACAGTCCCATCTCCCCCCGCTGCTCTCTCCCTCCCCACCTTCTATGAGGGAAGCTTCGTCATTCCTGACGGCATCCCAGACCTCCCCCAGGACACCTACATCAAGCTGCCCAAATGGAGGAAGGCATGTTATCCAGTTATTTTTTATTAAGTTAGAATTCAAAATGTTTGGCCATCCAAAACGAATATTAGCACAATTGTAATGGAGTATCAGGGGAAAACAAAAATATTGAAATATTTTTAATCCAGTAAATTGAATATCTTTTGGTTGGTTACATTACATTACATGTTTTCTGTTGGTTAAAAAGAAAAAACTAAGCAAACCTGCAGAACCTAAACAAAGCTAAAATAATTAGCCAATAGGATCAACAAATATTTCTAATAATGGTTGGTCATAGTCCTCTGATCTGTACTTTACTATCTAATCTGTATTTGAGAACATTAACATAACAGTTGAACACTGATTAACTCGAATTATTTTTTTAAATAATTACAAATAACCATAAATGAATACAAATAATTATTAAATTCAGGCCTTCACTAAATGTGGAGAAAAGGATAAAAACAATTAATAAAATACATGCTGTTTAAGTGTATCTCGTCAAGACTTTCTTTAGCACAGGCCCAGATCTCATTAGTCATAGTTCTAAAGTATTGTCTGTGGTTTTGTAGTTTAATGATGACAAAGACCTAAAGTACGGTTTAAGTACAGGGCATTAATAATCAGTATTTCTTTTTTAGGGGCAAGTTTGGATTAACGGCTTCAACCTGGGACGCTACTGGCCGTCTCGGGGCCCTCAGGTGACACTTTATGTTCCTGGCTCCATCCTCAGCAACGCTGTCCCCAACAACGTGACTGTGCTGGAGCTGGAGGGCGCCCCCTGCGGCCCCGGGCCCTGCAGCGTGGAGTTTACCGACACCCCCATCCTGAATGGCCCAGTACAGTCTGACTTCAGACAGCAGAGGAGGCTCTTTTCTAAAGATGATTTGTTGTGATAATAAAGGAAGTGTACAGCTGCACTAAAAGGGATCTATTTGCACTTTCTGCCTATTTTTAATCAGCACCTGTTTTGTGAAAGAGAGTTCATTTGGGACATGATATCAAAATTGATGAAATGTGTTTTTAGCAATTATTTGAACCATCACATAACTGTGAGCTCTCTACCTCACTGATTCTCCAAAACATTTTCATTCAAAGCCTTCTTTTCTTTTATGCCTATTGATAGACATCACATCAGGCTCTATTATGTAGAAGGTTTTATTTTATCGTGAAAAACACATCAGAGAAATACCATATTATCATTCAACTGAGGATACATTGTGGCACTGCTGACATCTACATTGTCTTTAAAAATTGTTTGCATTGATTGTAATGCTGTTGAGCATTTGCCTTTTAAACAAAAAAAATAAAAGCATGATTTTATAATACTTCAAGGATCTCCTTTTTTATTGTGTCAGTATATTCTAGCCAGAAAATAAGATCAACCTAATATATATTTGTGTTGCTATTAAGATGGAGACGTTTTTTTCACAAATAAATATGTTCTCATAATGATAATTATTATTACAATTAAAAACGTATTTGCAGTGGTGTAAAGTAACTAAGTACAGAGGTAAATAGTGTACTTTTACTCCACTACATTTATTTATATCTTTAGTTAGTTTTCCGAATTGGATTAATGATGTGAAATATGAACAACACTTTAAAAGTACTTTAGTTACACCTGGATTAAATTCACTAGCTACCCTGCAGTATACGAAGTCATTCAAACTACCTGCACCTTTACCAGCTTTGATAACACTTCAATGCATCAATCATAATCAAAACATGATTTATTTTTCTGAAATGGGCCAATCTGCATGAGTACTTTTACTTGTGGTACTTTAGGTATATTTTGATCTTCATACTTGAAATTGAGTAACATTTGAAATGCAGGATCTTTACTTCTAACAGAGTATTCCTATTCTTTGTTAATTCTACTTTTACTTAGGTACAAGATCTGAGTTCTTCTTCCACCTCAATGGCTATTTGCTTCTCTTCTGTTTGGTAAATATAATGTCAGTAACACGCCGGAGGACAAGGTGGCGCTAGTGTATTAACACGCTGGTTGCTAACCGCCGATAAAACTAAACAAATGAAAAGAAGAAACTATCCCACGTAGAAGAAGAGGGCGGAGGCCTGTTGAAAATGTAAAGAGCAGACGAAACAACGCCAATATTCGACAGTTCCCGTGATGAGGTAAATAAAATGAATTGAATCCTTAACGTTTAATTGTCAAATGTAATTGTTAAATGTTTCGTATGTAGCCAGCTGTAGCTAACGATAATTAGCTCTAGCTAATTAGATGCGACGTTACAGGAAGCCACCTTCCTTGTTATTGTTATTATCTGTGTTTACCATCAACAACTTACTATTTTCTCGTGAAACTAACCAACTAAAGGATGTAACACAGCAAGAAACACTTAATAGCTAAAGGTTTAAATTAACCTATGTGTGTTTTTGTTTTTTTCTGCAGGATTTGAACGCCTCCGTGTTTGGGACATTTCTCAAAATGCTGCACTTGCAATATTATTAAATAGAGTATCATGTTGAGATACTCATTGCCATTACTATCTGACAATAGTTAACAGACATGCCGTGGTGCCTTAATACCAAGCGGAAATATCAGTTTTAAAGATTAAACAGTGGAAGCCAACACATTTACATACATTTATTTAATCAAATTGCAGTTTTATTCTTGTATACACCAGCTCAAAACGACCTAGATCATGGTAGACAATCGCTATGCCACAGCTCTGGTGATCGGCTCGGTGCTGAGCCTGATGGCCACGGTGTACCTCTCTGTGGCGGTGGGCACTCAGCACTGGTACCAGTACAGCTGTCCACCGGGGAAACGTGAGGGGAGCAACGCCACCGAGCTCAGAGATGAGTTCATCAATGGAGAGTTTGATGAGAAGAACTACAGCGAGACCCTGTTCCGCCTGAACGGCACCCTGGGGCTGTGGTGGAGGTGCATACTGGTGCCAGGCCAGTCCTACTGGTTTAAAGAGCCAGGTATGAGCTCCTTTTGAATATATCACATCAAAGTCATCTTTATTGTCAATCTTTCAGTTTGTGTGTACAGACAGAGATCGAAATACCTTTTCCCACAATCCCGAATATTAAAACAAATGTATATAAAAAGATGTGTGCCAATATACATACACAGTCAAAGACACATTTTTACATGTGCACACATTAAGACCTAAATAAAAACACAACAATCAATATGTACAAAATAACAGTCACTTCAATATTATGAGAATGTACATTCAATGTGCATTATTGCAGATTATCCATCTCTACAGGTTTCTTTCAGATACAGCCTCTTGAATCCTCCCTAATTCATTCTTTATACTTTATTAGGATCACTAACATAAGCACGATACGGGAACAAACTTTTGAAATGTACTTGTACACTATTGGGAAGCACTGACATTATAAGCTGATGTTAAGCAGACGCATGCATGGTTAGGGAGGGATTTATTTTAAATTGCAGTTTAGATCACAAACTTTTAGACACCAAATGTCTGACTGCAATACAGGGAAATGCGAGTAGACATATATCATTTTATTTTGATGAAATTTGTCAATAGAGATTGTTTTCTTGACACCAGAGGCCTGTACTACAAAGCTGGTTCAACCTAACCTGGATATGTTTGAGTTAGCCGGTTGGCCCAATCCAAAACATACGCGCTCTGGCTAAACTGTACTACGACGCTGGTTATCAAGTGGATCGCTCAAGCCAGCCGTGTCCTATCTAGTTAGGTGCGCGTTCACATGAAAGGGGTGGTATTTGGAGCATTCGACCAATCTCAAACACGGACAAGCGTACTGACAGCGCAGCGTCATACTTCCTGAATGAAAAGTGAACTTTAATATTAGTCAAATATGAAGAAGTTAAACTTTAAACATCCATGACTTAAACACTTTATCCAGGATAAAAGTCACCTAGCTGCACCTGCAAGGTGAATACAGCTGGTAAAAGAAAAAGTGTTTGAATGCGTACATTAACAGGTTTATGAAATCACTGCCCCGTCCAAGACACGAGTGGATCTGACTTTAATTACATTTGACTCGAGTGTTTCGTCAACTTAATGTGTTGCTTAAAATAATACTTCTGCATACAGTATGTGACACTGTGAGTGTTGCACGGCCAGATACGGCTCAAGAAGCTGACTCAAATAAGGAAATATATGATACATTATGATGTGATATGATATGAATGATAATGGGACACATCTACGTCTGCACTCACAGTGCCGCGGACTGTACTTAATGTTACTTTGATCCGGTTACTTATGTCGTGGCAGATATTTAAGTAAGCTTTCTTAACGCTAATATTATAATAGTCAGATTGCTCTGAAGATGGGAGGGGATATTCTATTAATTTTCACGTTCACACAGTCAGTTGATTTTGGCCGGCCGTCTTTCCTGCAACGGCAGTTTTTCTGTATTTCCTCTATCCTGTAATATGAATTGATCGCTTTAAACTCCGCACACGGAGCTCTGATTGGTCAGCAGGCGGTGCTTTCACTGAGTTGATCTCTTAGCCTGCTACCTAACCTGCTCCGGAGGAGGTTAGCTGCTCAGCATAAGTTACCATGGAGATCTAGCCCGCTAAAAAGAGAACCAGCGTCGTAGGACCGGAAAGCCCGAGTTTTCCCTGAAGTCAGCCGGCTAAGCGAAAATCCGGCTTCGTAGTACAGGCCTCTGATGAATACCTCTTTTAGAGTTATGATTATTTAAAATGGTACAGAATGGTTCTTTTTTGGCTAGCTTGGAAAGTTACTTAAGGGTAAAAGTTGAAAATCAAATGTTATATTATCTGTGTAATGCCCACTCATTGCCAATTGTTTTGCAGTGTTACCTGCAATGATAGAGCTAGCTTCTTCAGTAAAAATGATAACAAATGTGTATTATCTGATGATGTACTGCTTATGCTCGTGCTGCTCAAGCTTACATTGCACCATGGGTTTTAGCAAATGATGACTGCTCATTTAAATGTGTGCTTTCTCTTTTGACTTCAGATCCGAAGATGGAGAGGCAGTGTGTGAGCTTCACTCTTCCTCAGCAGTTCAGTCCAAAGTACAAACATCTCGGAAACCCTAACAGTGAGGAAGATCTGCTGAGAACATGTGAGTCCACCCTGTTTCCCCTCATCCACATTTGTGTTGTGCTTTCTGTTTACCCTGCTTCCATTTGAACCCAATTTCACTAGACCATAAAAACAGAATTTTAGTCACAATATACTGTTCAGTCTCCACTTCCTCATGCTTTTTTATATCCATCCATTTGTGACAATTTTCTTTGTTTTCTTCCTTCAATGTCTTAATGTGTAGCTGCCATGTTTTTTAACATTAATGTTTTATTTGTAGGGGTTGAAAGTATTTTTTTAGTTAATGTTCTCTATTTTCCCAGACTTGTGGAGGTGCCAATTTCTGCTACCCCTGGTGTCCCTGGCTTTGGTGTTCCTTGGCGGCCTTGTTGGGGTCTGCGCCTGCCTGTGCCGCAGCTTCACCCCCACCTTGGGTGTGGGAGTGCTCCATCTGCTCGCAGGTGAGCAAAATGCATGCTCATTACCTTATTTCACCCATGGACCACAGAATAAATAACAAATAGTTGTTCAAATGTTCAAAAGGTAAATTTGGATTTAAGATGCTTTCCACCATCTCGCAATATGTAAACAAGAAAACACAATTCAAGGGGTGTGGTGGCAAGTTCTGTAGCAAGAGACTCTTGGGATTTATGCAAACACCTTCCCCAATGTATCATTTATATTGGACAGGGTAAATACACCATAGGTTGTTTTTGGACCAGGCTGCTGGTTTTATTTAAATGGGAAGACCTTGTACTAAATTAAACTCACTGCAGACGTTATTTTGTGAAGTGTAACACTAACAAACCACATCTAATAACACTTAAGCATTTAACGCGTGTCATGACGGCATCAGTACACACACTAAAAGTAGTAAAGGTACGGTAGCTGGTATGTACTGATAGAGGCTGCAACTGTGGACCGTTTTAAAATGTAGTGTCCTGACCCACTCACAATGATGGTGCAAGTGTGTGAGCTTGAATAGAAAATAATTGCTGGAGGCATTTGAACACATGTTAGCCATCAGCGCCATGGTGCCTTAGTCCAGCTGATGATTCTCAAACTTAAAACTAACATCAGCCTGGCGGTGCTGCTTATGGCTCTCTTCTTGTAAGGTGAGTTTTCTCTTCATACATTCATATCTGACTTCTAGTAATTAAACCTTTAGCTTTTAATTTCTCAGACTGTTTTTCTCTTTGCTTTGAATAATTAATATGAGGGAAACCTTTATGTCATCGATCATTGTTGTAGATCCTGACCTCTGTTGACTTGTGAATACACAGTCATTTGGTATGTGATATTTGGTATGCCGAGGTGGTCTTTAATTATTTATATTTCTGCTACAACATGCAGTATGAACAAAATCATGATTGACAGTGATCAAGTGACTTGAAGCTAGTGGAGTTGTTCTGAGCCAGGATCCAGCTGTTGCCGTTAAAATTGTTTTGCCTCAGCATTAATGTGTTTTTGTTCAATATAATACATTCACTCTCTAGTTTCTCTCCTCCTCCTGCCTTCACACCTCCACAAACCGAGCAGTGCGTCAAACTGTCTGTTTTGTGTTTCATCTTTGCGTCTCTCCTCTTCAGGTCTGTGCACTCTGGGCACCGTCTGCTGCTTCCTGGCGGGCGTGGATTTGCTCCAACAGTATTCCCCTCCCCCAGAAGGGGTGGTGGGCTCGTTGGGCTGGTCCCTCTACCTCGCCCTCATCTCCTTCCCCCTGCAGATGATGGCAGCTGCTTTGTTTCTGTGGGCGGCGAGGAGTCACCGCAAAAACTACAGCCGCATGACGGCGTACAGGGTAGCCTAAAGAGAGACTGCTACAACTTCTTACCTGAATCAGACTACTGCTCTGAGGACTTTCTTAAAAACACATCTGTACTGGTCACTTCCTCTGTTACAATCTTTAAATAGAAAAAATCAGTAACATGATATCATAGATCTAGGCAGGGACACACCTAACCATTTTTGCAGCGAATCATAAGTGCTTATAATAAGGTTTAAAACCTGTCAGGTTATTTCACCTTTTAGTTTTTTCTCAGATCTCTAACCTATATCTTAGCCAAAGCATGTTCTCTAGTGTATTTTACCAGATGTTGTGGGTCATTTGTTTTATCTGGTGTTAACTGTGTTGGTGTGCTGTATTTTAATGCCTTCTTTTTGTTTGCCATTGTTTCCAAAGCTGCTCACCACATTGCCCTTAAGTCAGTAATAGGTAGATTTTAAACCCGTCTTTATCTAAGCCAGGGTAGCTTTCTCTATTAGTGCATGACAAATATTATAAAAGCCTTTTTTTATGATTTCTTTTTTGCATGCCTTTTTTTTTTTTAAGCTGACATTACTGTCATCTGTAGTAGTTGTTGATTTCAGCCTGTGGTATGTGTTGACTAAATGTCACTTAAACTGTAACCACTCCCATTAGCACCTGTGTTTATAGAATACATATTTATTAACACGTAAAATACTGAGTTGATTTGACGCCACTTTTGCAAACTTGATACCTCTTTGTAACATTTAAATTCTAATGTTTCAGCCCCAAAATTATACTACTGCCACTTCATATTTGTTAAACTACTTGAAATGTTTTTCTAGACGTGGTTGCAGTCGGTTGTCTGTTCCTTTCTAAAGGTCTGTTTGTTCAGTTACCCAACTGACTGGGTTGACAGCCAAATGTTGCATCAGTTAAAGCCTTTTAAATACTGCTCCATGATACTTCAGAGCAAATAGACGGGTGTTTTAAACCAGTTGAAATTGCCGAATTCACTTGCAAGTGAAAATCGTCAGAAATGTAAGCCTCTACACTCAACATTTGCCTGGAAAGTGAATGATATGTCACTTTGTTGTGTGACCAATATTACACATTTCTTTGTACCAGATTACAAATTGTGATGTTTTTGTGTCACAATGTTTTGTTATTCGTCTCATGTGTATACACAGGCTTTTGTAAATGTTTTTATGTATTCTGAAGCACACTGTTCCTGTTTCTGTATTGATAAATTGACATTTGCTGACTTCTTGTCTTGTGGTGTACTTTAATAGTAAAAAGTAATCGTCAATCCTTAGACTGAAATGATGTAAGAAAAACTCAAATGCTTTTCTGTTGCTATTTCTTTCGAGAGAGCAATATTAAATTCCCAGGTATTCCCATAAACCTCAACTCAACTTTGTGTTACGTGGCAATGAGCAAAAGTTCACTTGCTAAACTTAGTTTGTGAACAAACATATTTTAGCAGCAAGTCATCAGCGTCTAATCATTTGAAAGTCGGAACACACCATCAAAAACTTCACAGTAATTCGTGTTTTGCATATTTGCCACAGTTTATAAAATATCAATGTCCTAGTCTAATTATTATACAGAAGGTACAGGATTATAATTCCAGCATGTATACATGTCACTTAAGTACAAAATAAACTCTAATTTAATACAAAAATACCCTTTGTTGCCTCCCAGAGATCGCACTGTTGCACAGCTGCTCCTGTATTGTATAGCGATAAGGATAAGGAGGTAATAATGTTATCATGTCCAGCACCTGTCGAATATTTAATCACTGCACAGGCGAGTACATTTTTGTTGTTGATTTAAAACATGATTATACATATAGTGTACACATCTCTGTGATTATAATTTGAAGTATGTAAATTAAGTCTTGGTTTCCTTCTGTCTCCGTAGTCTCAGTCCTTCTTCACACTTATAGACGGGAGGGTCACTGTGATCTTCTTGGCTAAATGGAAGGCAATCTTCTTCTCATAGTAAGCACACTCATTTATGAAGAGAGGGTGGAGGTCCTCTCCTTCGTACTTCACCGTCTCCCCAGAAAAAGACAGGAACATGGGGTCGCCTGGCTGCAGAAGCTTGAAGTCATTATCCTGGAGAAGATAGAGACCTCTCATAGATTAGTCAAACGCATCAGGACAGCTTTTCAATGCAAGTATCAAGTTAACTGTTACCCTCATAGATTTCTAAATCACAGCAATCTTGCATGTTTGCATTTAACTGTGTAACTAAAACTACCCTGTGAAACTATTTAAAGGAATGGTTTAACATGTTGGTAACTATGCTTGTTCGATTTCTTGCAAAGAGCTAATCCTGCAATATCTAATATGGGGGCAACAGAGAGTGAGAGAGAGGCACAACATTGACATATCACTGTGCCAGTGGGCCAGAGAATTGACGAGCCTCTGCCCAGCCAACTCTGAGTTTCTCTTGCTATCTTGTTGATATTTAAATATTCCAGAGAGAATGGTCTACATTCTTTGACAAAACATTGCAAGTTTTATCTCCAGCAGAGAATGAGAGGCACAAGAGAGCTAACAAACTGATAAGATACTGTATCTTCCCAGCTATTTCTTCTGCTTCCTGACCATTTTGACCCTGTGATTAGCTAAAGAAAAGATGACTCTGCCTTTGGACAAACAGAGTTCTGACTGAAACTGGCTATAAAGCTCAATGAAGCCAAGGGAAGCTGCAGATTCAGACGATTATTGTCTGTTGACCCATCGAGACCCTTATGCATTGTTATTTGATATGTTGTTAGATTATAGGCACTTTCAGTGAAGGCTTATGTTTGCATGTATCTCCACCAGATGTACTTGTCCTTTACCTGCAGCTCGGGGTGAATGGTAGCAGTAATTTCATTGGTCGTTGGATCCCTTGGGTAGTCTACACTCTTCACGACAGTGTATGCTTCCACTTCACCTTCTTCAAAAGTACTTCCTGTTGGCAAAGTAATGAGTTGTAATGGTGGTGTGTTCAAGGTGGCTAAGCATCAGAGGTAACGTGGTAATATAACAGCTTTATTAAATGATAAGAACATTTTTTCTCTTAACCCTGATGGTATCTTGCAGAAGGTTATGGTTTGGCCAGGCTTTAAGATATCTGCTGTACGACCCTCCGTTGTACTTGGGTTAGACAGAAATCCCAGAGTCACTTATCTCAAACCTGAGCAAATAAATACTAAACTATGTTAATTTCTAGATAACACTATGGATAAGTAATTACGTAAGTAACATTATTTTTAAAGAAAACTTCAAATTCAGATTCCTTAAATCATCAAGAAGCATAGCATTTTTACCCAGTAAGCAAAACAAGGAAAGATGAAGAAGGTGCCTTTGAAAATATGTACTTTTTTTTGTTGATAACCTCTCTATTTAAATATTTCTTTCTTACCAGAATTGAATTTATGAAGCCATTCTATAGTGTGATCCACTGCCTCTTTCGCCATGTTAAAGATATCAGCTCTGAGCACACCGTGGGGTTGAGGACCGACTTCTATCGCTGCAGAAAACAAGAAAAGCTATTCTAGTATCTTACACATTGATCAGTCGAATTATTCGGATGCATGCAGACAGACGCACACACTTACTGAAGCCATGTTTACCCACTGACTCCAAGGAATAAGCCTCAGATTTGGGTAAACTCAGCAGCATTGCTCTCACAGGCGCAGAGGTCATTTTGCTCTGAAAACCAGAAAAGTTGCTTCAATTAAGCCCTTTGAGTTTTAACATAAAATATTTTATAACCCTTTTATCAGGAATTTGACCATAGATTCAGTTTTTGCCTCATGGAGACATACGGCAGGTCCTTTCTTCCTGCAGTATGTGATTGCCTCTTCATTTCATGGGTTAGTGAACTCATTTTATGTATTCCTTTTCTATCTATGCTATCCCTTTTGCTGTAACACTGTAGGTTTTCCCGCTGTGGGATCAATATAAGATTTCTGATGATATTCTGCACAGAAATGTGTGGTCCCCAGTATGAATAGTAAAGACTTTTTTGAACCTCTCTTCTAGTGCCACCCACCGCCCAGGCCTCTTCTTGTGTTTTCCTGAACATAAAGAAAGACTGTCTTCAGACCCTTTCTCATTGATAAATAGGATATTCTTTATAATACATGTAAGTAAAATACAGTATTTCTTTATAAATGCAAACATAATTTAATTTGAACCTTATGGGACCTACAGTTCCAGCACTTTATGGTCTACATTTGCGGTTTTTAATCTTTGGCATCATTACAGTCCAGGTCAGATGCATGTCATGAAGTCTAATTGTACATATTAGTCTTGATGACTCCATGCTCTTACCTGAATGTATTTGTAAATGTGCAGTGTGAGCCAGTCCAAGGAGTAAAAGATGAGGCACATGCCCATGTTGGCGGTGGTGTTGTGGAGGTCGCACAGCAGATCCACAGCCTCCTGGCTCTCTTTGGGCCCGAGCAGAGCGTTAATCTCCTGGGCGCGCCTCACCTCGTAGGGGGTTGAATCTGTGATGGGGGAACTGGTAGTTGGAAAACGTAATGAGTTTTCTTATACATGCATCCTCTAAACTAGCCGTTTTTATAATTATATTACAAGGCAGTTTTCAAATGTGAGTTGCTTTTAAAATACTATTGCTAAAGTTTGGTACTTTTACTTTTCTTTTCAACATTACCTCAGCAAGGCTTTTGTGAAACAGCGATTGAGATCTGTTTCTGTATATCTTCTGCAAACCTCCACAGCCCGTGGATTTGATATTACGGTGGTTATAGAAACAGATCCAGTCTGATCTGCCTCCTGTCTCTGCATTTCTCTCACCACGTACATGCCTGTCATCTCATTTCCATGGGTGCCACCACAAATGGCAACCCGGGACACTGGCGAGAAAGAGGCGTTCTCCATCTGTTGGCAGGAACAAAAAGTAACATTGTTAGATGTGTTTAAAACTCTTACTTTATTCTGCCCTGCCCTCTCATGAAGCCCATGCCTACACACGTGACGGTACAAACACATGGGTCTGCCCAAACCTGTTAAAGTGTAATTAACAGGTTATACATAAACCAGACAGTACTGTGACCGGATGCTGAAATAAGGTTCAACCTGATGGTCAGAAACTGAGGTTAAAGTGTTTCAGTCTGTTGTTGGAACTTTCTGTGAATGATTGCAGACGACTTCTTGAACACATTAAACTGCCGTCGACCATTTACTCTTCTGTCCCATCAACAGCAGCAACTGGTCAGAGGAAGTCATAAACTTGAAGTGTTTTTATGGCTGTTTATTTCACTCGATAATCAATGACAGGGGTGAAGGTTTTTGTGTATATTTTTTCTTTAAAGTAAAGCAGTAGTTTTCATTTGTCTTTTCTGATTCGTATGAAGGGGAATTCAAATGTATTGAGTTTAAATACAACACCATAGTCTATATTTTCAATTAATTGTTCTTCAATCATTTGATCTTTGTGAAGTAGGAATATGTTCCAACTTATTACTAGGATGTAATGTTCTTAATACAAATATTTGTACCATAGTTATTCTTAGTTGGAATAATATGACATATCCCCAAAACTGTTCCTGTGGAATTAATTCAAAATTGTTTTAATTTATGTGTGAATAGGAAGTCTTGTTTGTTCTTGTAACTGTAGTTTCAGAGAAAACCTGAGGCAGGAAAGCGCTTTGACTGAATGAGATCAGAAACAGGTGAAACAGCTGCTTTAAAACAAACATCTGCTTCAGAGAACAAACAGCACAGTAGACAAGCTAATGGACAGAATACCTAATTATTACTCATGATATGTATATAATATAATAATATATGTTATAAGTCCTTTGTTTCTAGAGTTGGGGATAAGTGTTAAGTCTACAAATGCACAACTCTGCTCAAACTGTAAGGGTTTAGAAAGTGAAAAACTGATCAATTCTCTATTGTTTTAGTTTGCTGTCTGGCTGCTACATTTGGAAAGTGCTTGTGTTTTGAAATGGTCTGACAACAAGTTGCATAGAGGAAATGTGGTCTGCCATTGTTGTTAAAGTGCTTGAAGTTGAAGTTAATGGCAGTATTGGCATTATTGGTGCATAAATAATTTAAAAGTTAGTCAGGTATATCAGGTATTACAACTGTCCTCCTCTTTAACACTGAGACCTGCTGATTTTACACAGACTGAGTACATCTTACAGAGAAATGCAGAGATGATACAATCAGCAAGTTGGAAGATCGGGTCACAGCTTGCAAAAGTTTAAAGATTATAATTTCACTAGCCGCTGTGTGAAGCGAGAGCGAGGATGACAGAGAGGCCTCTGCACTGATAGGAAACAGCTGTTGCACAGCAGAGACCAAAACCTCCTGTGGTAAACAACCTCCTGAGCAACTCCTTTCACGATTGCAGAGGCAAAACTAAAACACAACTATCGCTTTTATGGCACCTCGACACTTCGTATATCTTTTCTATTTTAGTACACAGTTTCAGTTTTCAACCCTCTCCTCATCACAGAAGAGAAAACTAAAAGCAAACTTGACTTAAACACATGTAAGACACAACGTTCACGCCTGCACAGCTTACCTTGCTTTCGAAGTTCAGCTCTGCTCAGTACTCACTCCACTTCAGCAACCTTTGACCTTAAAGGCAAGCCCTATCAGGAAAGTAGTATGTCATAAGCTGCAAGCAAAGGAATGCAGGCACTCCGTTCACATGCAGACACAGACACAAATGAATGCAAATTGATACAAAGAGTGTTTTTAGCTGGCCCTCTACTTCCTTGTGTTTCATTCGCTCTTTCCTGGGGAGTTTTTCTTACTCTTTTCCCTCCTCCTTTTATTCTTCAGATCAAATTTCAGGCAGTTGGCCACTTGTGGTTTGCTTTCTGTTGTTTCTAAACCAGTCAGAGCCGTTCTGTTGGTTGGGTACAACTTTGAAGTTCTCCAAAAACAATTAGACTCCATGCTAGGTCAGGCAGCTTCACTGATACAAGAGCCTACAGATTTATATTCACAGCTGCTGAGGGTTGATCATTACAGGTGGCTCTGAATCAGGGGTTAGTGAGTCGACTGTGACCTCGCTGAACTCTGCACCCTGGTTAAGCAGCAGTGGATTTATTGTTTTGGTAAAATGGTAACTTTAAAGCTGACGAAGGACCTGAAAAGTTCTGCTGGCACAAGTGTATGTAGACATAAAATGAACCGTCTTATAATTGACTGATATGGCTGAAATAGAATCAGAAAAAGGTTTAGGTAGATTTACACATGATTGGTGTATAATGTTGTTTACACAGTACAGAAAATGAAGTTGTCAAAATGAGCAAAAATACAACTATTATTAAAAAAAAAGTTTAATAAAAAAAAATAAGATACATGCTTATAAGAAATATTAATAAATAAACAAACAACAATATAAATATGTCAAATTACTCAAACTTACAAACAAATATGTGAAGGGTATCATCATTTAAATTGGAGAAATCTGCAGTTTTATATGAGGTAGTGTTAGAAATGTGAAAAATATACAGAGGAATGTGCAGTTCATAGTTAAAGGGGTGAAGGGTTTATAGTCAGTGTCAGTGGGGTTATAGGGCTAACATGGAGTAGGTGCTTGCACCATGAGTGTTAGGGCAGTTTGAGTGTTAACCTTGTCAACATTGGCTCAAAATTATAATATAGCTCTATTTAATTGACATTCATATTATATTTATAGGTTTAAATGTTGTAACTAGGGTCCATATTTTAATCACGCAATTAAGAGCTTTGGAAATGGTGGACACAATGCCAAAAAAACACATATTAAGTGCTAGTTTCAAAACAATCCGCTGGCGAGAACCATAACTATCGTTGAGCTGAGTATCCAACAAATCATAGTTTAACTTTAGCTACTTGCACAACAAGTTGAGGCTGTAAAAGGTATCTTGCTGAATTAAACAATAGTAAGCAATAGTTATAAGCCCTGCTGTTGATGTAATCATTCATTTCATAGAGGAAAACCTTTGTACCATGGCTGACAACCCTCTATTTCCCAAAAGAGTCAAAATGAATGTCTACAAAACGTATATATTTCCCTTCCTGTCCATTAAATCCTCCCTTGAACCCACAGAGGCATCTTGTGACCGCTCGGAGGGGTGCTGAACCCGAGGTTGGGAATCACTAATCTAGTAAATGATAAAATGTTGATTACCTTCTAACCTTTCATATCTTTCCCCTCCACAAGACCCCTCCGAACACTTGCATTCCTCTCACTCTCTCTAAAGGGAAGTCCTGAGCTCCATTTAGGTGTAATCCAGTCGGATCAGTCACTTGATCATAATCTGCTCCCGCTCTCTCCCTTTCACTGACACACACACACACACACACACACACACACACACACACACACACACACACACACACACACACACACACACACACACACACACACACACACACACACACACACACACACACACACACACATACATTTCTGTCAGTATACAGTAGCATCCTAACCTGTTTAACATTTAATATATGATTGAATATCACGATTTATAACAGAGCCACCCTGTTACAATGTCAAACACACAAAACATTCAGTCAGTATTTTACTTTTTGAGTTGTCGGTTTAAAAGATATTTAAATGCGTGCACTTCAGAGTTGTGTTCATACTATGCTCAAATGTGTGACCGTCACAATACACACACATGCATGCACACACATTCACCCTAATGTTTCGTGCCAGAAGACAGCAGAAAAGCTCCAAAGCCCAAGAATAAATGTGATGAGTGGATGACTTACAGTCACTGCCCTCCAGTGGTGGAAAGTACCTGAGTACATTTTGCATTTAAGAATCATGCTTAAATTACAATTGAACAATTTAAGGACAATTTAAGTACTTGTCCTTAAATTGTTACTGCACTCGACCACAATTTAAAAATCAATATTGTACCTTTACTATACTACACTTATCTGAAAACCAGTAAGTTTAAATGTACATGCTAAAACATATGAGGCAGCTCATGGTAAAGATAAAAACAATGGTTGTGCTTTGTGCCTCACAAAAATCAAGTATGTAGTTGAGGTCACATTTCAGATGTACAGTTTATGTAAACTCAGATAGATCCCACTTATTCACCCATCACTAACTAAACCCAAATGGTTAAATTGTTTTTAATCAAAATAGTCTATCATTTTAAAACCATCTTTATGACCTGAACGCTGGTAAATCGTGAACTTGGTAATCTTTCCAATTGCCTTCGCATTTTTTGTTGTACTGTTCGAAAGTAAAAGTTGCTTTCTTAAGGAGAAACGGTGATTACTCCTCTCACCTCTCTGTGATTTCCAATCAACTTTTCACACCAGCTGGGCATAAATTGTATGTCAGGCTGTGTGGCTTTTCACAGGGGGTTCAAATAGGTTCAGACATATAACAATAAAACTGCACTCGATGAAATGTTTGCAGTTAAACAGCATGGGAGCCCAAACGTCATCCTGTTACACACAGATCAGAAACCAGACAGAGTAACGCTCTCATCTCCACTGCTGTTGCCTCCCTTGGGATTAAGTGATGGCTAAATTATTCATATGAAAAGAGGAAAAATAATTGTTGATGCAGCTAATGATATTATCAGCTGTTATCTAATCGCGTGCGACCTTTTCAGTAAGGGGGAACAGGGTGTGTTTGTTAGAGGTTTGAACATTGACATTTGAAACAGGGAGTGGCCCAAAAGAGGTGGCCTCTGGGTAATGAGGTCTTGCTGAGAGGATACAGACTTTCTGACATTCTGGTGGTCTTTTTCTAGCGTCTAAGGCTTGTTTGTGTTTGTGTGCTCTGATGACCCTGACCATGAACTCAGAATCTACCCTTAACCACCTCTTCAGAAAAATGTGTATTGTGGACCGGACCGGATAATATAAAGACACATAATAAAATGGAGCTTATAAAAATAGGCACAGCAAGTACATTTAAAAGCTTTTTTAAGGTTGATTTTCAACATATTTGGCACTCTGGAAATGCTGATATCACATAATGTGGGATTGGTGGAGGCAATTGGAAAGATTCCCAAGTTCAAGATTTACCAACGTTTTTAAAACTATGTAACCATTTGGGTTTAGTTAGTGATGGGTCAATAAATGGGATCTATCTGAGCTTATAAACTCTTCACAATTGTAACAATATGTTAACATGAAACTGATAATTATGGTATCTCTGACATGCACATTGTCAAAAACTTTTGGTGGCTTTGTCTTTTCAGGGCATGCACTTTGAGAGCTTTAAACATTTTAATGTGTTGTTTAAATACATGTTTGATATAATGCAATGTATTTGTAGTTATTTTAAAAGATGTGGTTATTTTAGAGAAATACAATCTCTCTTGCAGTCAAACATAATTGAAAATTAAAACACATTACAAAATAATTTTGGATGAGAAACATGAAAAGAACATTTTGAATTAAATGTTATTCACCCAAACAATACATTGACAAATATTCCGAGAGAGTTACATCATCAAAACGCTTTTCCAACACTTAATGGCCTTTAACATAACACAGCTATACATTTCTGAAGCATTGTTTTGATGGCACAGGCTAGCTATGAGGGATTAACTCTATCACACTGAAAGTAAATCAAGTTTAGACTTTAGACAGCTTTAATGCAGAAAACCGTAGCAGTAGGCCTAGCAAATAGTCGCATGGGATGGGATACAATTACAACAATGCACCTAGTTGCAAAGTTGTTTAAAAAAGTCTACAAGCTCTACTTATATCAGCTTGGCAGCCTGATAAGGAATTTTGACAGGCTTAAAAAGATGGTAAAAAAAACCCTGAATAGATTTTCTATGTTTTTATCCTTCACTACATCTATGTGAGTGGCTGCATCAGGACCCCTCTGTCTCTCTCTCTCTGGTCACATGTTGCGCGTATGTTGCGTATCAGACTCAAAGTGTTTGTTGTCGCCTGCCAGCAGCTGACAGCAGCAGATCAGACCGAGGACACTCGAGGAATGGCCTCTGAACGCGATGAATCCAACTCGACCAGAAATCTGACCAACCAGTTCGTGCAGCCCGCGTGGCGCATCGCGCTGTGGTCGGTGGCTTACAGCACGGTCCTGTTGGTGGCAGTTTTCGGAAACTTGATAGTGATTTGGATTATTCTGGCACACAAGCGAATGAGAACTGTCACCAACTATTTCCTGCTGAACTTGGCTTTCTCCGATGTCTCCATGGCTGCCTTCAACACCCTCATCAACTTCATCTACGCGGCGCACGGAGAATGGTACTTTGGAGAGGTTTACTGCAGGTTTCACAACTTTTTCCCGGTCACTGCTGTGTTCGCCAGCATCTACTCAATGACCGCGATAGCCATCGACAGGTATGGGGGAAAATATAATATACCAACAGCAGGCAATGCAAGTGATATTTATGTCTTGATAATATATCATAACTTGTTTTTCTATTTCCATTTAGTGTTTGCATTACAGATTATGTTACGCATTTACATTCCACAGTAATTTGGTAAATAAACAAACATTTGGGTACGTTTACTTAGGCTACTTTATATAAGAATAGCCTATATCGATATATAGATATCTGTAAATTATTACATTATGAATGATAGTTAAAGGGATTGTTACCTCTCTATGAAGGATTAATTGCTCAATTGTGATGACCATTATTAATCCATATCGGAAAATAAATCTCTTGCTTCTGTGTTTTTACTTTATAACCTGGTCTAGTATTCAATTGAGAAAACCTTTGCTTTAATCAGTTACGTGATAAACAGTGAAGAGTTATAAAACAAATAAGGAAGGATCACCTAATAAAATAATTTACTTGAAAGTCATTTTAGCAATACATTGAGTGAATCAGAGAATATGCAAAATGTGTTGCCTAATATTTGAAATTACTAAAAGTCCCATATCCTAAGGCTGGGCTTTTCTGGGATTTTAAGAATTGAAGGGCAGCAATGCTTTTGCCATCACGACCCTTTGACTTTGGAACGACCCACCTAAGGTGATAAGGGTCACAGAATGAGAAACCTCTTCTTAAAACCCATTTCCTGTAGACTTTCATGTGTGTGCAGTCATAACTCAGGAGGACGCTGTGACCTCTGACCTGCAGGTACATGGCCATAATCCACCCTCTGAAGCCCCGTCTGTCGGCAAAGGCCACCACAGGAGTTATCGTGTGTATCTGGAGTCTGGCCGTGGTTCTGGCCTTCCCTCTCTGCTACTTCTCCACCACGCGGGCTCTGCCCCGCAGGACCCTCTGCTACGTGGCCTGGCCCCGCATGGCGGACGACCCCTTCATGTGAGAACACTAAACTCACTGACGAACCCTCTAGCTGATGTCAAGCTTCATCATCATAATCATAACCAAGCAGGGCTGTTATCATGTTTCTTATATGGCAATTTCTCTGTGCATCATTAACTCCAGATATGTGCTTGTCGCCCCCTTTTCATCCTGCTAGTCATTGTCAAATCAATTAAAATAAATACTAGATTTTGTGTTTTTGCTCTTTTGCAGGTATCATATCATAGTGACAGTTCTGGTGTACGTGCTGCCCTTAGTGGTGATGGGCATCACTTACACCATCGTAGGTGTGACTCTGTGGGGAGGGGAGATCCCAGGAGACTCATCTGATAACTACCACAGACAGCTCATCGCTAAAAGGAAGGTAAACGCCACATTTCTTTAATGCATTCACACTTTTTATTTACACTTTTTCTTCTGTGTGTCTTCGGGTGGAAGCAAGAAGGGGTATTTGTAGGCATATTATAGGTTTCTTCTAAAGTATAAAATGATGTATCAAGACAAAATTGATACCATCTGAAAATAAAGGAAAACAAAATGTTGTATAAAATGTGTGATAAAATATGTATGGAGATGAAGGAATTGGTTGTAAAGCAGGGGTGTCAAACTCAAGGCCCGGGGGCCAAATCCGGCCCGTGACTTCATTTTCTGTGGCCCCACAAGAGCTTGCAAAGAATATAATATGTTTATTATACGGTTACATGATGATTTACAGAAGCACGTTGCCCATGAACTACATGTCCCACAATGCATCTCAAATTAGACTTATTTCTTCTAATTTCTTTTAAATGTTACTTTTTTTTTAAATGTCACTTCCTTTTTTTTATTTTGACTTTTTTTTTCCAGTTTTTCTTTTTAAATCATTTTGTGACATTCTCACTGAAGAGACTTGCAATGATTTGCCCCAGACTTCTGCTTTCAGACGTAGTTAATTATGAAGTTATTACCCTATCAGATAATAATCCAATGCAAAGGCAATAATGTAATATAATACATTATTTTATATATATATATTTATATATAAATTACAACCGGCCCTTTGAGTGCAGCCATAATGCTTATGTGGCCCGCGATTAAATTGAGTTTGACACCCCTGTTGTAAAGCATTCACACTGAGAGCCTTTACATACAAAATAAAAGTAAGCAAACATTTGACGATAAAGATAAACGTCAGTAGGCTAGGAAATGTTGGTTGTCTTTATTTCAAAAATAGTGAGAAGAAAGAAACCGTTTTTCAATAAATTCTTAACCCTAAACCAACAAATAACAACCATCAGATCTACGTGTGTTATATCTCAACCCAAAATCTTAAATGTAGCATCGTCAACTAAATGCAATTCTGCTGCAGGGTGAGAAAACACTAACTCGCTTACAGCGTCCATCAGGAAAATGTGTCATGTGGAGCTGCAGGGCACACAGTTCAATGCTGTGTGCAAACTGAGAACAATTACCTCAGAACAGTTAGAACTTTACATTGTCATTTTTAATATTGACTTCTGAAAACATGTTATCCAATTGTCTAGACTTAGAATGCATCCAGAGGATCATGTCCCAGTGTAGCTCATCATCAGCCAGACTTTGCAGCAGCTACTGTGAGAGAGGGGGGGGGGGGATTAAGGTCATCACAGCTGTCATGACGAGCATCTATAAAGACAGCCCCAGGATTATCACCCAACACTATACAGAAATACAGAATTTATTGATACATTTGAAATTCTGCAGGTATAACTGCCGGATTAGTGAGCAGACAGTTCGAGGACAAGGGGATTATTCAGTGACAAACAATGTTTGCATTTTTTTCCGATAATATCAAAATTACAATCAATTTAACTTAATACACCTTTTTTTAAATTTGTGAAATACATGTTAGGTGAGAAACAAACTACAAAAACAAATTACTTAAAAAAAATTGGATTGTTAAGGGTTTTTTGGCATCACTACCACAAATATTCATTATGCAGAAATCGAGACAGCAACAGGTGCAAGTTGCCATTCAAAATCTTTTCCAGGGCTTTATAGAAAAACAGAAATCATCAGAGGCTCATATTGCTGGCAAAATTGAGCGGCGGGAGATAAAAGAGATCTATAAATGTCAGGAGACAAAGGTTTCAAGACAATGTCATGCTTGATTCAAAGGCCTGTGCTGACAAGATGCCATTTGGGCTAGAGATAAGAGGAAGTCGCTCTCATCTCCGTCCCCCAGATGAGCCTCTGCTAATGCTGTAATGGCCTCCTGCTCCCACCCCCCACCCCCCCCACAGCATTATGCTGCAAAGCGGTGATGAGTTGTGGGCTGCTCTCTCATCTGTCACACCTGGAACCTGCCGGGTCCGATGCGTCATCACCAACCTTTCCCTCTCTTCCGTTGAATGGAAACGTTATTGGGATCAGAATGAAGGAGAACAGACAACATGCTCCCTACTTCAGAGACAATTTGCATATTTATCCATGGCTTCAGATATTCAAAATCACAGTGAAATGACATTTAGAGAGTTTTGCTTCCTTCATTTGATGTTTCTCCAGTGAAAGGGTATTTTAACCTCAGGGACGAATCGTAATTTTTTTAAGCTTTCTTCTTTTCATTCAGTGTGAAAAAAGCTGGATAATTTAAAAGCTGCACCAATCAAATGTTAATAACAATAATATTAAAGTACCCTTTGGAAGACATCCTTTGAAGTGACAGGAAATTACCAGGCAACTCTATCGAAGCTCTGCTGCCGTTCTGCTCCTTTTGACAGCCTGCAACTTTTCAGTTTTACTTACAGATCACATCCACACTAAGCACGATTTAGTTGTTAACATCTGATTTTATTTCCTCTCTATTTTAACTTCATGCCTCAACTATAACAGCATTTTCCTTGCCTGATAATTGCGCTTTTCCCAAACAGCCTATAGAATATATAATCAGTTTGTTGTTTCAATGCAAACAGGGTAAACCTGAGCAGCAGTTGTTCAGTTTGAATGCTGAGGAGAGTTCTTGAAATGTTGAGTTACTAGTCATTTCCCTCCTTCCTCTTCCAGGTGGTAAAGATGATGATCATCGTAGTCGTGACCTTTGCCCTCTGCTGGCTGCCCTATCACGTCTACTTCATGGTGACGGGTCTCAACAAGCGTCTGAGCAGGTGGAAGTACATCCAGCAGGTTTACCTGTCTGTGCTGTGGCTGGCAATGAGCTCGACCATGTACAACCCCATCATCTACTGCTGCCTCAACAGCAGGTGAGTGCAAATAAGCCTCCACAACAACCCAGGAACTGTTCCCATAAACTGCAGTGTGATTACATGTCGGGGTGATTTGGGTGCAGGTTTCGGGCCGGCTTCAAGAGGGCTTTCTGCTGGTGTCCCTTTGTCCACGTTTCGAGCTACGATGAGCTGGAGCTCCGAAACACAAGACTTGGACCGGGTCGCCAGAGCACCGTGTGCACCCTCTCTCGGGTGGACCCCAGCATCCTCAGCAAAAAGAAGAGCACCTGTCTCAGACTCAACTCTGAGCCCAGTCATAAAGACAGTTAGTTTTCTCCACTCGACACAATGCAGCTCAACAGGTTTAATAGGCACATTACGTTGAGATAGAAAATGCTGATTGGACTATTTGGTTTACTTATAGAGCTGATCATTTCAAATTATTTACTTAACTCAGTTGTGGTGATCGCCTCAAACTGTTTTAGCTGTGAGGCATGTCTCCCCGATCATTTGACCCGTTTATCAACAGCTGCAGCAGTTTCTGTGACACACTGGAAGCATTACAGCACTCAGATAACACACAGACATTTTGATTAAGTGTAACCAACTCTTTCAAAGGATATTATTATCAAGTATAAACCCTCCTTAAAACTGCAGAAGTTGTGCAAAGGAACTGCTTAATGCTTATTCAGCATAACTTCAATGGTGCTAATTTTCCAAAATGTAAAAAAATCTCTGCTGGTAAAATATCCCACTGAGTTCAATTTCATTCAATAGTCACACAGTACATATTTTTATTATGTATTTATTTATATACAAATGTTCAAACATAAAAAATGTATTCATTTAGATATCTAACACATCACAATGATAATACTATTTATTTAATATTAAACGAGAAGCTTTAATATAACATGGAAGTATGTGCATTTGGTATAATGCTCTACTTACGGTATGCGTGTATTTAATGCCTTCAGACAGTTACTCAGTGGATTGAATGAACTGTAGGGTCGGTATTAATGCTGCTCTTACATCGTCATAAAGCCCTGGAATCCATTAAAGTGACTGACTCAAATGATCCTGGTTGGATTTAAATTCACAAGTGCTTGTTGCTGTAGTTGTCGTAGAAAGCGTGTGCCATTTAAGCCACGTTCAAATCCACTTGTACTGTACTGTAGTTCAGTCAACTCAGTAAGAGTTACTTTTTGTATATAATAAGTGTATGTACAGTATGTGTTATGATATTCTGATGTTCGGTGCAGACTTAAACACACATTTGACACACACACAAAGTAAATATAGCCTTTACGGTACATTTGTGTTTTGGTGTTGTTTCAGTGCTGTAAAAACAGAAAACCAGATTATTTAAAGTCACTTAGTTTGAATAGTCCGTTCATCACTCAACACAGATCTCTGTAGCTGCTCTTACTTTGTTCCACTTGAAATGTTTGGTATTAATATTGGTGCAGCTATAAGGATTAAATTCACCACAACTCTTCATCATAATTTTTATTGTTTTCATCTTAAAAAGAAACAACCATTACATTTCACATGTAAAGCCACAAAAAAAGATGAAAAGTCTGTTCTCTTCAAAATAAAAAATGTAATTTGGAAAAAGGCATGCTGGGAAGTCTTCTATAAAAACATATATTCACATTGAGTCAATGATATTGTCCGTTCTATTGGTGACTGCAGTAAAGTGGCCTCATGCAATTTGACCTAGAAACCCAACCAAATGTCCTTTAAAATCACCACATAGTGTCATTTAAAGTCATGCAGTCGTTTCTTTCTGCAAGAATTACAAATAAAGACAAAACTGTTATAGGCCAGGATCCAGATAATCCACAGTTTGCAAACGGCTGTAAGTCTAGTTGTCACATGGAAAGATTCTCAAAGGTGAATGTATAAACAGTTGTAAAAAGTTTTGAGAGAATAGAAGAGCAATTCAACCAGTGTATGTGTTTATATAAAGCTCAACTCATCTTAAAGCCCCCCTCCCCTCTCTCTACTGCACACACACTAACAAACATTTAAAATATCCACAAAAAAGAACTACAAAAAAGATACCACAGAGGTCTCATCAGAGAGGTGTTGACATCAGTATATACTTCTGCTGATATGAATGAAGAAAATGTTTTGGTAGTCATAAAGAAAAACTGAAATGACTGTATTTTTTGCAAGCAACTACAAAAGCCTACGACACCTTAACTGTCAGCATTTCAACCACACAGATGGTTTGTTGTTCGGCTACAAACAAAGCAGCGTTTTGTGTTTTAGTAACTCCCAATGCAATCTGAGTTGCTGATTACTTTTTCATCTGTCTAGTTAAAGAAAAAAAGAGAGAAAGTCACAAGCATCAACACAAGCCACTGGCTGGAGACATCAGCTGGGGACCTAGAGAGAGATGGAGACAAAGAGAGAGTGATGAATATGCTGGGTAATATTGTTATGTCTAAATATCTTAAAGACCGGGAATATATATTTTTTCTCAACCAGTTTCTCACTACAAGCGAGAAGGCATACACACAAATCTAAATGTCTGACAATCTTTGAACAGTTTTGGATATTCCAGAGATTTTATTTAACAGATTTCTGGAATTGTTGTTTCCTCTGTGCTCTTCTTCCTGGTATAAAGTGAACAGGGTTAAGCTTTTGAGCCTCAATCAGGAAACAGCAACATTATAATCAAAATCCAATGTTGGGGGGGTTGTTACAAGCCCCCAGGAAAAGCCCTGAGCCTTAAAACCAATTTTGGTGGTGAGCAAACTGTGAAATTACAACCTCAACAACTTTCGTACCATTTACAACATTCGGCCCAAAAATACTTTAAAACACTTAGAATTCATTAGTAAATAAGTGAATGATAATTTGTTTTGTGATGAATAAAGATCCTATTACTTAAAGGGGACCTATCATGCAAAATGCACTTTTGTACGTTTTTTATACATGAATATGTGTCCCCGGTGTTCCAGGGAACTCACCAAGTGTCAGAAAACACAACCCTCTCTATTTTCCTCCATACCCAAATCTCTAAAAAAGGGGCTGCAACGGATCTGATAAAAAAAACTGATGCAGATTTGAACAATGTCCTGACGTCAAGACAGTGGCACTACGGCTATTGGGCCAACTCCACCAATCAGGAGGAGACAGCCACGGCCATTGCCGTTCGAAAGTGCTGGAGACGCTGTAGTACATATGCCAGGCCAGTAGATGGTGCTGTTCTCACAGAATCTGCCCTTGCAAAAACAGATCTAGAAATGGTCAAATTGAGCAAAATGAGGCATGGCTAAAATGCATGATCTGTTTGGTATTTTGAAAAAAAAAAAGTATAAATATGCCTTATATAGGTATGGTCCTACACTATATTATTCAAATATAGCATGATAGGTCCACTTTAAAAAAACATTATTTAATCATTGGGTCCCAATGTTGTGAAATGCACGAAGGACTGTTTGAATGAACACTAATGGGTTAATAGTTTTCTTTATACATACGTGGGTAATTTGTTAATGTCACCACTTTCAATCTAATCTGGTCATAAATAATCTCCTAACTCCTCTGCATTTTTTGGTGAACAAACAGTTTGATGTTTTTTTTATTTTCAGATAAAGTGAATTATTATGGACATTGAATAATGTAGTCTAAGGAGTGTCTTGGTAGCCAAGTGGTTCCTGCGCATGCTCCCTCCAACACCCCCCCCCCCCCCCATTTGTAGGTTGTCGTCTGTCAAAAAAACCTCAAATTGACACTGAAAATGCAACAGAAAAGGGACAGCTATTAGATATTTTGAAAATTATGAATATTGTCAAAGACTCATTATAAAAGAGCAATGTATGTGGCTGTAGGCATTTTTACATTATTGTAAACATTATTGTTTACCAATTTAATCATGACCTATTGTTTGCTTAAAAGATTAGCATTAAACATGTTTTTTCTTTTTTTCTAAGAACCTCTTCGTCTTAACACTCCCTGCCCAAACCTTTACCTCTGCTCACACAGGCTGTAAGTGTGACTATCGAGGGTTAAACTCCTCTTCTAAGTTTGATTATTGCATATTTGCTCATTTTCAAATGTATATAAGGATAAGAATGCTGTTAAATGTACATGAGGCCAGATAAAACGATGTGGTCTTTTGAGTTATTTCACATATTAGACGCCAAGTAATATTTAATGAATTATTCATAATTCTGTAACGTTTATAGATGAAACAACGTTTTGATTAAGGAACATTTTGAATTCATTATTATTTAATCACTCTTACTTATCGTGGGATTGAGCAAAACATACAATATTTTAATCCAAAAAATGTCTTACCGTGACAGACAGTAACAGTTGTGTGTGTTTTCCAGGGATGAGTGTTTCAAAACGATTGCAGTGTATTCAGAATCATTATCCTTATCAGTTATTTCCTTTGTTGCATTCACAGTAAACACTTCCACCGGAGATAAGAGGGCCATGTCCTTGTCTGCACTGCAAATGTTGGTTCCCAGGTTGATAAAGAAGCAAGAAGTGATATTAAAGACGACCATCCCTTCAAAATCCATCATGCTCTTCATTAAACTGTAGCTTGACCAAACTTTGGTGAATTTTCCAAATCTCACCTTTGAGCCCTGTTGTGCTGTGTATTTATCTCTGATAATATGCACAGTCTCACACTTCTTTGGATGCAGCAGGGACATTGAATCCATGAGCAGGAAGTGAAGCGACTTGTAATGGAACTGGTTTTCATAGGTACTAACATTTCCGCCCATTGTCTGTACTGCATTGTCAAAAGTCTTGGAAAAATCTTCATCCCCTTCAACATATGCCAAAAGTGCAGCCATATGTTCTTTTGTTCCTCCGGGGATCGGCTCTGAACACGGACTATTTGCACTCCATGCTTTCTGGAATCCCTCACTGCTGTTTAGCTCCTGCTTTAAGAGCCCTGAGTGGACAAACTTCTCCAAGGCCTCTTTACGGCATCCTTTGTACATGTCGTCTATGGCATCTGGGGCCATGTCCAGCAGTGTTGCGCTCTCTGCAGTCACCTTTATTGAGTATGGATAGAGAGGAGAATATTATTATTTTATTCTAACATAACATCACAACAGGTTTTGATGGCTATTAGTAAGATCAATAAAACTTACTTTGTAGAAGAGAGCTGTGAAAACAATTGAGGCTAGAAGCATTTTTCTTCTGTTGAACATTTTGAATGCCTTTTCCCGTGCACTGTCTGCGCAGAATGCTGAAACAGAAATCCCAGAAAAGCTTTGCAGGACCAAACTTGAACAGAAAGTTGTACACAGTCCAACAATCTATCTTGTTGCTCCAATACTTTGTTTGGACAAGCCTACCATCCTAGATCTACCATTAATAGTTGTCCTCCCTATAGGAAAAAAGCACCCTAGATAAAAGTTTGCAACCCTAAAATGAAAAGAAAATATTGAAAGACACATACCTTAAGATAGGCAAATTAATTTCTTGGAACCAAAATCACGTCTTGTTTCATCAAACTGCAGGGGAGTAATAATTCTCTGCAGAACACTGTCTCTGGCGAAGTCAAAACGTATCAGGCTGAGCAACGCCTTTTCCTTTCCTGTGGAAGGAAATAACATACCATTCATATACCATCACAATACCATGCTGATGTCGAGCTATTCCTTCTGTTAGAGCTACTGAATTACTGAAGTGAGCACTTTCTGATGAAAAGAAACAACAGAACAAATATAGATATAGTTCAGCCTACAAATGGCTAAAGCTGGATGGTTATATTTTATTTTTACACACACACATTTTAATTGATAAACTGTAAATTGTTCCTATGGGTTCCCCTTTTCTAACATGCTGTGTTCCAGTTGACCTATAGCTTGACTGGAAACGAATTACTTGCATTAAGCTTTCACTTGCTGTATTCAGTATGGAATGAATGCATACATGCTTTACTGAATGTAAAAGTAGAATAACCTTTAATACATTATAAATAAACTTGCCTTTAAATGAAATCTTTAAAATGTAGTGAAACAAGTTTTGATGAACAAAAAAGACAATTGCATACTCTTCTGTTGACAAATTAAAGTAACTTTTCTCACTGCACAAACACTAACCTGAAAATACTGTTCATGCTGTTTTCATTAGTGCTCCCCCGAGAAAAGACAGCACTTGCTACTTTGCAAAGTGTGTTTCTCCTACTTCCTTCCTTCCTCCCCTTCCTGCTGGCACAGAAGCAAGTAGAAGCTCAACTAAGCGTAACAGCACTTTTGTAATTCTAACAAATGTTCTTATCATATCACCAAAGCACTGTGTTTTACATACAATTATTTGCAATATAATTGAGATAAAAGTCCATGTAATTTGTGAAAGAAATGGTGTAAACTTAATCAGGAAAAGTGCAAGAGTGTGTGTTTGTGTGTGTGTGTGTGTGTGTGTGTATGTGTGTGTGTGTGTGTGTGTGTGTGTGTGTGTGTGTGTGTGTGTGTGTGTGTGGGGGGGGGGGTGTGTGTATGTGGGTGTGTGTGTGTGTGTGTGTGTGTGGGTGTGTGTGTGTGTGAAGAAATGTTTGAAAATGTAAAGTAAAATGCTTCAATCTGGTGCACTTTAAGCACACATTACTAGAGACTAGATCTAGGGGGTACAACTCTAAACACCCATATGAAAAAGATCGGTTTACATTTTAATAATCAAATATGTGAACATAACCAATAACCTACCATAGCCAATAACAAATAAATGTAACTTATTTTATTTTTGTTGTTCATTCATATCTTATTTTACCTAGTTAAAATGTATTTATGCATATTTTTATATCTCTCAAGTTTTAAACGATATTTTTGGTTTACTGTCCTATAGTATACATTGAAATGATTTCAAACCTGTTTATCCAAATAATTATAAAGGAGTGCCTTGGAAATATTTGTTTACATAAATTGCATTTATCTCTCTTACTCGCTCCCACGCCCAATTTGGCTGTGAGCTGCGGACGCCTGATAAGCCAACACCCCCCACTTTCATCACTTACAGCGCCCATCGTACAGGGCAAATGAAAAGTGTAACCGGGGTGAAAAGGGTGTTACCTTTACTTAATTATGAATGTTGTTACATCAAGGCTGAAAATTAGGATGAGCGCAAACAGTCAAAAAGGTTTTTTTCCCCCCCCAGATCTGGCGCCCTAGGAGACTGCCTATGTCGCTTTTGCCAAAAACCGGCCCTGTACACCATGCTAAATGTATGTCTGCATAAAGCTGAGTTATGATCAGTCATAATAACACAGAATTTGGTGATGATTAAATAGTTTACAGTGAGATTTACTCCCATACTTTTGGCCATACTCACGCAGCCCTACAAATGAATTGAGATTTCCACACAAATGTTCTTTAGCAAGTGTGCAGAGCAGTGTTGATTTAAAAAAGCAATTTGAAGGTTGGATATTTGTAAACCTTTTTTTGTGTATATATATTAATAATTTAAGATGTAAATTAATTCCAGTTTATTTGTAGTACTTTCTATTTTTATTGTGACATTTGGTGGCATCAATGTGTGCATTTGATACAGATAATGGAGCAGTTGCTTTAGGGCCACAGTGTAGGCCTATATCCCTTAAGGCAGGGGTGTCAAACTCAAGGCCCGGGGGCCAAATCCGGCCCGCGACTTCATTTTATGTGGCCCCGCAAGAGCTTGCAAAGAATATAATACGTTTATTAAACGGTTACATGCCACTTTACAGAAGCAGGTTGCCCATAAACTACATGTCCCACAATGCATCTCGTTTTGTGACATGCACACTGAAGAGACTTGCAATTATTTGCCCTGGACTTCTGCTTTCAGACGTAGTTGGTAGTTAATTACCAAGTTATTATCCTATCCGATAATAATGCAATTCAGAGGCAATAGTGTAATATAATACATTATTTTATATATATATATATTATATATTTATATATGTATATTTATATAGTTACAACCGGCCCTTTGAGTGCAACCATAATGCTAATGTGGCCCGCGATGAAAATTAGTTTGACACCCCTGCTTTAAGGTCATTATAATGAGATCCTCGACCTCCGCCCCCCTCTCGCACCTCCATACAGAGCCCCCCCACATATCAAATCCCAATGTAACCCCTGTGTGAGTGTGTGTGTGTGTTTCCTGTTTCTGCCGGAGAGAGGGGAGTTTGTCCCAAAGCTTGCCGCTGTATTTACTCCCTCCATCTGACAGGAGGGAGCCTCATGTGTCACTCCACGGAGTTCACTGGGCCATAATTTCCCCGAAATAAGGTCCCATGGGTCGGAAGTAGATGGGCGGGACTTCGCCTCTCTATTACCGGAAACGGCACAATTTCCGGGTTCAAACGCGCCAAACAGAAAACATTTGCGTGTGTCGTCTGCAACATGTGAGAGAGGAGTGGACACTTGACATAAACACGGTAACGTAACCTACAGTACTGTTGTTCCGATGACTCTTTACTGACAATGACTCCTGGCAAACTTAAACCCACTACCTAAGATAACGTTAAAGTGAATAATAGTACAAGTCAACGTTAGGGCGTTGAAGTTAGTGTAAGGTTGGATATTCGTTTCAGTTAGGGTTAGGGACCATCAATACATGTATTTCAATGTCTCAAAACCAATGTTATTTCAATATCTCTGTGCCTATATTAGTGACAATTATTCTTACACAATATAATACATTGGCTTTATGTAGCACATGGATTACTGGTCGTTGAATTATATTATTTCCTCATTTGAATAAATATTTGAAAGAAGATCATTTCAGTTGTATACAAAAGCTTCTCAAAAAGACTCAATGGGGAACTGTTACTAGATTGAACATAAAGGCCACATTTATATTATTTTTCTCGATTTTATATGAATATTGTTACCAGACATTATTACTACACTGGGGAAATATGTCACATTTTAAAATGCGAATTAAGGGCTTTTTAAAAATTTTATAGGATTATTGTGATCATATACAGTTTTTTCAAAGTGTCTTGATTTTATTCATTGCACACACATTATTTTATAATTTTATATGTGAGGGATTAAGGTAAATAACAGACACACCTATTTATATATTATTATTATTATTATTATTATTATTATTATTATTATTATTATTATTATTATTATTTGTATTATATATAAACCAGGTTTTTTCCAGGTTGAAGGATGAGAGGAGGACCGGAGTTCAAGCATCCACTCTGTTGAAGTTGCCTTTAGCAAATCACTAAACTTCTAACAGTACGAGGAAGGTGCTGCATTGTAGCTGACCTCTGACCCTGTTTGTAATGAAAAAGTTGCCCCTGTTCTTGTAATAAAGGGTTGTTAATCGATTCAAGATGAGTAAATGGGGAGAGCGGATGAAGAAGGTGGAGCAGCTCGCTCAGTCCTTCCAGCTGAACCCTCTGGTCGATCAATACAAACCTCGGCTGTGGCCGTGCCAGCCGTCCTCCATCTGGAAGCTCTTCCCTCGTCAAAGTATGGCGATCAGCTTCGCTCAGAGCTGCAAGGAGGTAATAAAACAAGACTTATTATCATTGGTCTGCACCTTTAAGATTGTACATCCTGTGTGTCAGGGGAAATCTGATGCTGGCACTTTGCGTTTCCTAGGCTGTACATGTTTTTGCACTTGAAAAAGAAAAGACATTCCTGGGTCAAAGGATCTTCCTGGTGACCAGCTACAGTGAGCTGTGGCATTACTACAGGTACATAATAAACATTTCAAAAGGAGGTCCATCTTCTTCCGTGTGTTAGGAAATGTGCATTAATTGTGATTTTCTTTCAGGACTTACCCACAGTCCTTGATGCACTGCTACGAGGTGATACCAGAGGGCGCTGTTTGTAAACTTTACTTTGACTTGGAGTTCCACAAGCCTTCAAACCAAGGGGCTGATGGGAAATCCATGGTCTCTTCACTTATCCAGGTGGGGTACTTTTCACATCCTCATTGACAAAAGGTCTTACTATATATCTGTTTTTTAAGTAAGCTATAATTTATATATATATATACCACTAAGATGATCAACTTGACATTTATATATCCAAAGAATGCTTTGTAAAAGTATCCACTTGACCTTATTTCAGTAAGTTAAAGAAGGGGAAGTAATGTCAAAAATATAAAAAAGGGCCCAGCATTTATCGTTTCCTTTTCCCTCATATTCTTTTAATTTCAAGCAGGAGAGTTTTTGCAGCACTTGGGTGTGGCCAATGTCTATTAGATTTAGAGAATGTTGGGACTCTAGTTTTCTTTCAATTTGTGAGAAAATGCAGTAGTTAGGTTTTTTTTTTTAAATCATTTGGATATATTATGTGTCATAGTTTATCTTGTTGCTTGCTTACCTAAAGATGAAGGAGATACAGTATTTGAACCTGTCTGTGTTTTGTGTGTTGACAGTATGTTTGCGAGAAGTTAATGGAAGTTTATGGGATTGAATGCTCTGCAAAAAATATCCTCAATCTCGACTCCAGCACGGAGGACAAATTCAGTCGGCATCTCATCTTTAATCTGAAAAATGCAGCTTTCAAAGACAACTTGCATATGGGTAAGGTCAGTGTTTTGCATTGAGGTAACAACACTTGTTTGTTTACCTCAATTTCAATTCATATATCCTTGTTGTTGTTTTTTAGGCAGGTTTATCCATTCAATTCTTCAATCGGTCCTGAGCACACCCAAAAGCAGCCTGAGCGTTGGGATGAATTCAGAGGAGAAAAACTGCGAAACAGGGTCTGTGTTTTTAACTTGTGAAAATAACTTAATACATTTCTTAGCTAGCATCATTTTGTGTAACTTTTCTTAATGACATATTGGCAGCAGAGGGCAGACGTCTGAGAGTCCAGAGGCCAAGAGGTGCAAGCAGGAAGAGAGAGACCTCAGCTTCCTCCAGGTGAAAAACAAAGATGGCCAACACTGTCTCTTTGTTGATCTTGGTAAGAAAATCATACGCTTTTATTTTTCATTTTTTAACCTAAATCAACAACTTGGGTTAAATGCTTCTCTTGATATACTCAGCAAACCCATTTTTGGATGATTTTTTGTAAACATTGCCAGTATGTACCTTTTTAATGAATACATATTTCTCGTTATATTTGACAAAAACAGGTGTTTACACCAAGAACAGAAATTTCCGCCTTTACAAGTCATCAAAAGTGGGAAAGAACGCTGCGTTCACGGTGGCAGACGACAACGAGTTCATTCACAAACCTGAGAAGGGAATTTCTGCGGAGGAAAGCGCGTTCTTGGCTTCTTTAGTCTGTAATATAAGGTAAAACACTTTTCATATGTTTTCTTTGTTCTATAAATATGACTTTCCTAAAGCCACATCCTCAGAGCTTGTTACTGTGTCTCATTAGCTTCACAGGTCAGAGAATTCTTACGTCAGACATCCCTGAAACAAAGAAATCCAAAACCTTGGGATCTCCCTGTCAGCAGGAATCAGCCACAGACCCAGGTAACACTGACGACAGAAGCCTTGTCTCTACTATGCAAACATGCAAAGTGTATTGTACAATTAGCTCAGCCATAATTGACCTCATATGTCTCTTTATAAAAAGCAATATTTATTTCCCCATCCATCAGTGGCAGGCTCACTCTCGGGCCACTTGTCATCGCCTTATCCAGAAGTGGACAACTTTGTATTAACTGTGGTTAAAAAGGACGGCGTACATGGAAGTAAGTGTTTGGACTAATACATGAAATGCTTTTAGAAAAAGTGGGTCACTTTCCAAACATTTACATGTCTTGGTTCAGACCTAGAGCTGAATCCAGCTTTTTTATTATTGATCAAACTGCCGCTTCTTAATAAATTCATGGTTGATCATTTTAATTGACAAGAAAAAACGTAATTGAACATGGATTGATTCAGTACCTGGCAACTAAATGTACATCAAAACGTAGTATATGGTCAAAAAATATGATGCAATATATTTGTTTCCGGGACTTTGTCAGGAGTTTCCTTTCATGTTTATTTCAACAGGCATCAGACGGTGGAACTACTTTGCTGCTGAACAGCTGATTGTCTACGACATCGCAAATTACCGCTGGTGTGCAAACGTGGAAAGGTTTCACAAAAGCAACAACATCATGTATGTATGTTTCAGGTTATTTGTTGACAGTCTTAAAGTGCGCTCCACTTCCCTTCTGATTCTGTCTCACCTTCCTCTGCAGGATTGTTGTTGACCTCAAAGAGGAAGCGTGGTACCAGAAGTGTCTCGACCCTGAGTGCAGGAACTTCAGGTCCTCAAGTAAGCAATGATCCTAAGAGCCGCATTTAAAACAAACAACTCCAGCACACGTGATGTTTTTGGATTGACAGATTGCAAAATGGTGTCTGAGAACGTGTCTTTTGACGTTGCAGGCTACCCACTGCCACAGGAGATCTGCGTCAGCTACATCATGACACTGGTTTGCTTCTTTTTTTTTTTACTCCTAACTACGCTTAACTTGCCATGAAATAATGTTGTCTTCTTCTAAATCTCAAACCCATGTTGTTCTCCTCAACATGCAGCAGTGTATGATCGTGTCTCATCTTCTCTTACAGGACGAGGAGGACCAGGCCTACTTAATGGACGATGCCGGCAACATTGAACTCAGCCAGGCCTCGACCCCCCAGAGGACAGCGTGTGCAGAGCAGGGACCTGCAGACGGCTGGGGGGACGGGCAGGACGACCAGGACTATTTACAGAGCCTGGACGACTTCGAACAAAAAAGCGGGGATATCCCTGATCTGCTTCTGCTCAAATGTATGGCAGACTTTGACTCCCATTAGAGGGTGAGTTTTATGTTCTTTTTTTACCCACTTTACCAAATGTCCTCCTATTTATAATTGACCAACAGTATAACATGTAATAAAGAGTTTATAAGCCACTATATTTTGCAAGCTACGTATGTTTATTGATTTGTCAAAAAGTATTTTTGTAATTGAAGCCTGTATATCCGGATGACAATAAAACAGTTTGAATATAGGCCTTTAGAGGAAAGGTCAATTGTTCATTTATAAACATTTAAAATATCCCTAATGCTGCCTTTTATACAAGTGATTAACCATTTAGAGAAAAGGTTTAAATGGTGCTGATGAATGATTAATAGGGGGAGCAAAGACTTTGCAAAGTTCCTGTATAATGCTCTTTAACATCTCAAAAATAGGTTTCTAGCTACCAAAACATAGAAGAAGAATGGGAGGGGATGAAACCCTCTTTAATGGTCACACATGCAGAGCACACAGTGACATTTGGCCTCTGCATTTAACCCATCCTAGTGCCAGGAGTCTAGTACTAGGAGCAGTGGGCAGCTATATAGACATGAGGGATGTCTTTTTTTAGGGATCATAATTATTATTTTCCCCTCTCTTTATGAAAGAAAAACTACCCTTCTTGGAGAAAGTGTTTATTTGGTACAGTTGAGAAAATAAAGACACTGTACTTAACAGAAAACTGTACCTTTGTCCTTTTCATTTGAGTGTTTTAAAAAAAAACATAAGAACAATATGGCTTGAAATGTCAAGGTGGCCTCGACGTGTTTAATGTGTGTGAGAACTGAGACTTAACATCTGAATTCATGCTCCGTTTTACACAAAAAAGTTAACGTGAAATGTTGACAAGAACATTAAATCTCTTTAAAAACGTGCTTCTTCAAATGAAAAGTGATCCATTCAATCTTTGTTGTTTCAAATATTTACCCAGAAACCTCAAGTGTATTATACAACTGACGAAGTGCAGCTTTATCCTGCGACCTGTGGCAACCAAATGTGAAATAAGAGCAACATCATGTTCAGAATAGTAACATTCCCTATTTCCTGTGCAGTGTTAAACAAAAAAACACAAAAAGGCACAAAAAGTCTGTAAAGCTTCCCAAAATTCTAATTTCTAAGTTGTGCACAGGAAGGGGTTCATCAGTCCTTCAGCACGGAGACACACGGGAATGAAGGAAATTTAAACCGCAGAGTATCAGGCAAAATACTCTGCATACAAATAGACTTTTTAGCGGATACAATATTTACAGTTGAATGATTACATTAAATACCGACTTAAATAGATAGACCTCAATATTAGTCACAGATGTAAAAGCGTGTTAATAGGATTTCTTTCTGCCTCCCAAGAATACAAAATTGGCAGAAATGTTTTTACCTTCTGACGGTGGAGAGGTCGAACGCAGTTTAAGGCATGAGCAAGTCAGATTTCCCCTTTGTGTGTTTTTAACCTCAACCCTTAGATCAATGATTCCAGTAACATGGTGGCGGTGTAGTCGGTGACAGCAGGGACCGTTAGCGGTACAGGAACAATACATACTTCCCCTCCATTAACTATTTGGTTCTGGCGGTGTGCTCTGAACGGTCACCTTCTCTACTCCTCGATCCCAGTTTACATATTAATTTTGGCATAAAGTTCATCAATGTTCTCTTTGAAGCGGTTACGAATCTCAGTCCTCTTGGCCTTTAGGGTGGGGGTCAGCAGGCCGTTCTGGATAGAAAACAGCTCGGTGTGTAACGCAATGTCTTTCACCTGCAGAGGAGGAACAACAAGCGGCAAAAATCAACATTTGATGCAGTGTCTCAAGTACAACTAACATCTATTAGTAATTGCAACTTACAATTACTTTGTGAATTATTTTAATACAACCAAAAATAGTGTTTTACAAGATAATGTCTGCAAATAAGGATAATAAAGTGAACAATAAAGACTACTTAATAATTGCACTGTATATTCTCACAACTACAGTCAAGACAAGAAAGTATTTTCTCCTTTCTTGTCTTTTAATTTGTATTGTACAATGCCATGTCTTGTTATGCTGCTGCAACACAAACATTTCCCAAATTGGGATCAATAAAGTTTTATCTTATCTTATTAAAATGTAGTCCAAAAGTAAAAAAATATTCATTATCCTTTCAGAAACTGATTCGATGTAACTATTGTCTTAAAAAACACTCAGACAATTGGTCTGTCAATGAAAATAATGAATCGACTTGTCATTTCAGATGTCATTTGAAATAAAGAATAATTATTGAATCAAAAATGATGCATTTTGATAAAACGTGGCAACAGTTACCTGCTCGAAGGACTTGAGTCCCGCCTCTTTGCCCAGTCTCAGGATGTCCTCCAGAATGGCGCTCTTCACATCCTACAAAAAGTCACACACACGTTAGCTCACATATCACACCTGTGGCTGTGTGTCTGAGCAGCGGACAGTGACACCTCACCTTGTTACTGCACAGTTCAGAGTAGGAGCCTTCGATCCCCTTTTTCTTCATCCAAATAGGTAAAAAGTCTGGATCAGGAACCACTATCCCCACCAGACATGCCTTAGAAACACAACGGGAACATCAGAGCCACACACATTGAACCACACTAGAAACTGATACTGCACATTATGATAAGAATATCTGATGTTTACACATTCATGAACTCACCTGTAAGCTTTCGCCGTAAACAAATATCTGGGCCACTGGATCACTGAGATTATACACCGTTTCTATTTTCTCGGGGGCGATGTACTCTCCTTGTGCCAGCTTGAAAATGTGCTTCTTTCTGTCAGTGATTTTAAGACAGCCGTTCTGCAAAAAAACACAAAAAATAGGGTTTTATGAGATACACTTATCCATGGTCATTGTATAACTTTTCTTTACAACATACTGACTTAACTATATCTTCATCACATACTACATATACTGGGATGTGCTATATTTGTTATGACTTAAACAAACACTGTTTTCACAATTTGATGACGTCATAGGTTTAGCTGCTGCCCCCAGTTCACTGCATACAACAATATAATGCACGAGGTGTGTTACATGTACTCATAATTAAAGATGAATGGGCCCTTCAACATGTTCTACTTACAGGAAGCCACTTCCCGATGTCTCCCGTGTGCAGCCACCCGTCCTCGTCGATGGCCTCTGCAGTTCTCTCTGCATCTTTCAGGTATCCCAGGAAAACATTTGGTCCTTTGACACATATCTGGAGGGAGAGATGATAGAGTTCATGAAATTCACATTTTACAGATATTTAGAAGCAAGCACACATGCAGATTATATCAACTGTTAGGGAGCAATAACGGTTACTGTGTTAACAGCACCATTTCAGTACAGGCTGCAATATCTTACAAAATATAAGAGGGGAATCTTTCTGACATTTCCAAACAGATTTGATGATGCCTAGAGAATAAATGTGACATCGGTTATCATCTGACGTTTGATCCAACACCACCAGCAGGGCAAATATGAACTTAAACCTGTGAAATAATTCAGTATCTACTGGATGGATTTGCATAGAATTTATTGAAGGATACATTGCTATCATTTTAGGGATCCCCTTTTAATGTGGCGCCACCATCAGTTATATTTGTACAACACTTGAGTTGTGTAGTTATTTGGTATTTTGCAGGTGTAATTTGTGTTTAAGACTCATTGCAAAAACATGGCATTTGAACATTGTAAACATTATATTAGCTGAACATCAGCATGTTAGCATTGTCATAATGAGTAGGTTGACAGGCTGTCTTTACTCTTAACCTAATGAAAAATGTGCTTATCCATGTGTTAAGATCTTTCTGCTGCAGAGAAAAGTGTTTTAATAATAATAGTCATTCATATCCTACACTTTAATTAATGATTTATTGTACATTTTCCACTGTAATTGTATTAATTCTGCCCGATATGCAGCTTGTAGAGTAAGCTTCAATGACCATGTTCATTATAGTGAAGAAACAATAAATGTCACGCACGTGCAAATCGTATTTCTGCTTTTGTATTCTTAAAAGTAATTGGTATGGCATTGAGGCTTCAAGTGAAGTCACTGTTGTTTCTGTTAATAATAATAAATTGTACTTTGCATTCATTATTTCTATCCAAACCGGTTGTTAATTACAAAGCCAATACATACTTTTTTCCTCCACTGACTTCATGTATTTGATTGTTACTGAATAGCACTCCTCACCTCTCCCTCTCCATTGGCTGCCATGTAGTTCATTTCTGCCACATCCACCAGTTTGATAGCGTTGCAGGGCAGAGGAGGCCCGACGTGACCTGGAGACACAAAATCATCACAGTTCAGTTTCAAAGTTCACAGAAAGAATTGTTTACATTTCTCTCATAGGCTTTACTACACGAGAACAGACGGGGGTTTTACCTGCGGTCCAATCCCCGGGCATGGACATGGAGCAGCCAGCGGTGCACTCAGTCTGACCGTAGCCCTCATAAAACTGTGGAGAGCAGAGCGGGTTTTTAGTGACATGTATGAACATAAAACTAATTGATAAAGATTAGCCAAACGAATGTGAGATGGTGGAGTGGAGGCCGCTCACCTGACAGCCCAGAGCGGCTCGTAGGAAGGTGAGGATGGTCGGAGCCACCGGAGCCGCTCCTGTGATGATCAGTCTGACGCGACCGCCCAGACTCTCCTGCAGAGAGCAAACACAGGAAGACCATCATTTGATTACATCGTATCAATGGTAAATCAATTGTTGAAATATCTTATGGGCTTGTGACAGGTGTTTATCTAACCTTTAATAAGATAGTATGACTTTTCAACTCAAATATAAAATGTTTAAAAAGGGTAAGCGAAGTTCTGTAAGACCAAGCCTCATTCAAAGCAAGGGTAATATCTAAGTATCAGACTTATTTTGTGGATGAGTAAGTTAAATAGGTGCTTTCTTTACCTGCACTTTTTTGAAGATGATCTTGTCCCAGATGCTGTCCCTTCTGACCACACCAGTTTTCATCTCTGCCGCCTTCCGGCTGAAAGCGAAATCGAGCAGCCATCTCTTTAGCGGCGTGTTGGCTTGACTAAATATCTGTGGAGAATTGAGACACCTTATTTTAAAACATATATCGAACAAACAGGGCAGCAAACCAGAGAAATGGCACTTGTGTAAATAAGTAAATTCATAAAAAAGAAAGAAGTAATTACAGTCACAAAAGAAAGTCACTGAAAGAAATGTAAGAGGAAATAGTGAATACACATGCTCTTCTCCTAAATATGGCTTTGGTAGACTTTACAATGAGTGACATTAGATAAACTCTGACCTTATCAAACATGCGGTTGAGGAGTCGTGGGACTACAGGAAACACTGTTGGCTGCAGCGCTTTCAAATCATCCATCAAAAGTCGAATGTCCCCCTGGAAATAGCCGATTCTAGCCCCATGGATGAGGACGACACCCTGATGGAAAGAGGAAGTTACTCCTTGTTGCAAATAAATCAGTGGGACAATGTAACCACAAGAGGGCAATGTTGGTAAGATCTCACTATATAGTCAGTGTTTGTTATTCAAAACCACCACAAAAGCTGTTACTCGTCACAAATCATTAAAACAGTTAAGAAAGACATGAAGTTGTCCCACATGCATAACATATTTAGGAACACCTATTTATTTTAAGTCCTTTGGTACCTGTGTTAACACAACAAGTAGAGCACTGTTCCTTTCAATATGCAATTTATTTATGAAACAGTTCACCATCCATAATACATTGCAATATGAATTGACTAAAGGAACACAGCCTAAAAGGATAACATTTCAGTAATTGGGACAGCAGTGCTTTGATTCTTAAAACTCCACTTATACAGAACATTTGAATGTAAACAAGACCAACACCTACCTGAACCACCCTCTCAAACATGTGAGCTAGGGGGAGATAGGACACATGAATGTCATGGAGGTCCAGCATGCAGTGTACCTGCGGAGGACACACAGAGCAAAACACATGCAGGTACGCAGGTCAGGCAGGGCGTACTGTACCTCCACCACCCTCTCAAACATGTGGGCCAAAGGGAGGAAGGAGATAAGACAATCTTCAGTGCTGGGCTTCAGAATGGTCTGGACGACAACACGCAGGGAAGGAGGAGGAGGAGGAGGAGGATGAGGAGGAGGAGGAGGAGGAGGAGGAGGAGGAGGAGGAGGACGGCGACGACGAACAGACACGAGAGGAGAGAAACAGATGTGAGAGGAAAGGAAAATGTAAAAAAAGGTGCAAAAAGAGGAGCTCCAACCTGAACGGAGCCATCTTAGATTTTAACGATTACATTTGATGCGATACAAATCTCATGATGGTTTAAGAAGTTGGGTTAGTACAATTTGACTAAATGTTTTTTATATTATTGATTTATTTGACAGTGCAAAGGATGCTGCACAATCAAAGGTAAGCCATGTATACACAACCTGCCCTATATGAATATAAGGTTTGCACTCGCATGTGCACACATACATTTAAATATATAAAGCGATCTTAACGCATGTCTGTAGTGTCAACTGATCAGTGTTTTAAATTGGTATTTTGATCATGGTTTTCAAACTGTTACTTGCATATCTAATCTTATTTTTTGATTGTATTATCCTTGAGTGAACTCTTGTCTGAACTGCCTGTGTTTCACTCGTGATCTGTTGCTGCTATCACACCTACAGGAGTCAATAAAGCTTTATCTTATCTTATGTGCTGTGTAAAATAATGCAAAGTTAATGAATAAATCCTACTCAATATCACATGTTTCATTAATGCAGAAAATAGTATTTGCTCGTTTACTGCAAAGAAGAATGTCCTTTACTGCTTTGTGTTGGATGTCCCTATAGGGGGATAGAAAGACTGTAAGCAAAACCGTTTAAAGGGATTATGCAGAGGAGGCGGGAGCACTCCAACAGCTGCAGTTTTACTCTCAGGCTGAGACAAAATGAACACAAACATAAAGGAAAAAGAGAGAGGGGAACACCAGTGGAAATGTAACTTTTCATTAATGAAAAAATTAATAATTTAGGAAAAGCAGAAGCCGCCACCTTACAAAGAAGAAGACTAACATCAAGCACAGTGACTAGACATTATTATGTCATTTATCTGAAGTTTCAAAGCGTAAATGTTGTATCTTCAGGTTTAGCTGGTGTGTGTGTTTACCTCCGTTATTCTAATGAAAGCTGCAGTGTTGGAGATTACATTTCCATGAGTAAGCATTGCACCTTTTGGGTTCCCTGGAAAGAAAACGATGATTGTGATTATACATGAGAAAAACATTTCCAAAGGATTAACGTTGTAAACAAGTTGTGTAATCACCTGTGGTTCCAGATGTAAAGCAGATCAGAGCGAGGTCCTCTGGATTGGGGGGCTGTAATCAGATCACAGGTCTACACTCATGCATATGAAGCTATTTCATTAGAAATGTGCAATCCTTTGTTTTAGTACAGGGGTCTGACAGAGTGCTGCTGATTATAGGAGAATGATCTACTTTTAAATGATTATTCTTTTGTTGAAATTCAGTTTTTCGGCATGTCATCATCAGGTCAAATGAGGTGTGCTGTTACTACTCACCATTGGTTTCTGGAGGTTTGCTTTACCCAGGGCCTGGAACAAATATTAAAAGCACAGTGAGATATAACATGCGCAGAGGGAGCTGATAACAATCTAGCTTCAAACAAACAGCGCCTCAGGTCCTAATTTCCATTTAGTTATAACCACAACTAGTCACTGTGTCAGATCTGCTGATGTTGGGCGTTCAGTAAACAGATGTTGTAATAATACACAGAAAGAAGATTAGCTGGTATTCTCACCTCAAACTCCCTTAAACTCAGAACCTCGATGCCGCAGTCCTGTCCACGCGTCACCAGCTCGCTGTCAAACGGCTCGATGAGCACGATGGTCTTCACCGTCCGCCCATTCCCTTTGACGCAGTCCATGATCATCCCAGCCTTTTCAGGTACATCGCAAATCACCGTGGAGATGTCAGCTGGGAAAACAGACGGCACAAGTTGAACCACTTAGTTTGTATCAGTGTCCACGATCTAGTGCGCTGCAAGTGGTGTGTGTTTGTTTGAAGGTGAACTTTTTGTGTACCTTTTTCGATAATGTAGCCGATGGCCTCGGTGCCGAGTGTGTCGTACAAAGGGACGGCCACCATGGAGTACGTGTAACAGGCCAGCTCCGAAATGGTCCACTAAGAGACAAACACAGGAAACAGATAGACATCACTAAATGTTCATTTGAAGGGGATAAACTCACAAGACATACACACCCAGAGATTAGAGATTTTATCCAAAGCGACTTACAATAAGTGCGATAAACCATGAAGATACAGCAAGAAACATGCAGGTACATTTACTTCAAATAGGCCGAACAATTGTAAGTGCTGGTGCATTCGTTTCAATGAGCTAAAACACTTTAAATGTATTTTGTGTGAAAAGGTGTAAACAATAGTTGGACTGGAATATAATGTGTGGACTGGAATATAATGTGGACTGGAATATAATGTGGACTGGAATATAATGTGGACTGGAATATAATGTGTGGACTGGAATATAATGTGTGGACTGGTATATAATGTGTGGACTGGAATATAATGTGGACTGGAATATAATGTGGACTGGAATATAATGTGTGGACTGGAATATAATGTGTGGACTGGAATATAATGTGGACTGGAATATAATGTGGACTGGAATATAATGTGGACTGGAATATAATGTGTGGACTGGAATATAATGTGTGGACTGGAATATAATGTATGGACTGGAATATAATGTGTGGACTGGAATATAATGTGGACTGGAATATAATGTGTGGACTGGAATATAATGTGTGGACTGGAATATAATGTGGACTGGAATATAATGTGGACTGGAATATAATGTGGACTGGAATATAATGTGTGGACTGGAATATAATGTGTGGACTGGAATATAATGTGGACTGGAATATAATGTGGACTGGAATATAATGTGTGGACTGGAATATAATGTGTGGACTGGAATATAATGTGTGGGCTGGAATATAATGTGTGGACTGGAATATAATGTGTGGACTGGTATATAATGTGTGGACTGGAATATAATGTGGACTGGAATATAATGTGGACTGGAATATAATGTGTGGACTGGAATATAATGTGTGGACTGGAATATAATGTGTGGACTGGAATATAATGTGTGGACTGGAATATAATGTGTGGACTGGAATATAATGTGTGGACTGGAATATAATGTGGACTGGAATATAATGTGTGGACTGGAATATAATGTGTGGACTGGAATATAATGTGGACTGGAATATAATGTGTGGACTGGAATATAATGTGGACTGGAATATAATGTGTGGACTGGAATATAATGTGTGGACTGGAATATAATGTGTGGACTGGAATATAATGTGTGGACTGGAATATAATGTGTGGACTGGAATATAATGTGTGGACTGGAATATAATGTGTGGACTGGAATATAATGTGTGGACTGGAATATAATGTGTGGACTGGAATATAATGTGTGGACTGGAATATAATGTGGACTGGAATATAATGTGTGGACTGGAATATAATGTGGACTGGAATATAATGTGTGGACTGGAATATAATGTGTTTGTTATTCATCCTGAATCCATTTAATCATCTATTTGACTCACTAAAATAAATCTGAGATGAGATTTAGAGGAGTGGAACCAGTCTCCATGTAGAGTCTCAAATTGTGAAACTAATGAACACATTTCTCACGTTACAGCTGTTCAGTCTTTGCTATGGACGATGGAAATGAACTTTTGCTTCTAAGTACTGATTGAAGACAAACTTTTATACTTTGCATCTGAAATTCTTTTAGATTTAAGCAACGTTAGAGATGATGCATTTTGTTGTACCTCTGGCCTGTTCTGGGAGAAGATCCCAATGAACTTGTCTCCGGTGTTGGAGTGTCCTCTGTGAAGGAGCGCAGAGCCAATGTGCTCCGCTCGGTCCACCACCTGCGCAAAAAAACAAAAGTCTGTTTCTAAATATATTGTGACTCTGCTAGGTTTGAATTATAGATAAGTTGAATTAGTTTAGATTTCCACGTCATTGTCCACGTCTCACCTGTTTATAGGACTGCCACTCGTACGGCTGGTTTGGTTTCCTCGCTCCTAGACAAGGTCCATTATCTGCGAAAGGAAATAAATAAAGCTTCTTATTATCTACACTCACTGAAATAAATACATCAAAAGGTGATTCAAGAGAGACACTCACCTGATACCCGGAGCCCTCGTTGGAACACCTCGTACATGGTGCGTGCGTCGCTGTAGAAATATTCAAAGTGCTCGTCGCTGTCGTTCAGAACCGACCTGCGTGCGCGTTCATCTCCCTGCAAGAAGAAGTCATGAGGAGTTATGATCAGCACTGACCAAACATTCAGCACCTCTACCACATGAGCACACGTGAGGAATTATTATTATTTATTTTTGTGGAACTCAGTTAGGAGACAGAAAAAGGGACCCTGACTTTTTTTTATATAAAATAGTATAGTTTTTATTAATATAAAATAGTATACTTTTTTTTTAAATTCTATATATTCCATATAAAGACATACTATACTACGGTATGTGTATGTTTGTTTTTTTATGGAGTACTATACTATGACTTATTATGACATATGATACTATTAATATGCCTTTTTTCATGTCCATACTATAGAATGACTTTTTGTGAAATGTAAACAAACTAATGACATTTTGTTACGGTTTTATTTTGTTACTATACTACTTGCTATGACATTTTTACGACATACAATATGTTTGAGGCAAGGGTGTGTTTGTTATCTTTTCCACAGTTTTCCCACAGATGTATATTTGGAATTCTTTTGAAGTTTAGGATTTTAAAAGTAAACGAATCATACTGGAGTACGCTTTAAATGAGATGTGACTATAGGTGTTTTCTTACCCATCTAGAACAACCTGTTCTGTACATTTTCTATGTAACGTTGTACTGTTACTTTAAGAGACACACATACTTCAGTAGTAGGTCTGTGAATAGAGAAGACGCGAGACAGGCGGTGGAGTCACACTGTTTTCTTAACGTGTCCCGTCATGTCTTCTGGCGGAGGAAACTCTGTGAGTTAAGCCGATCGTTGCTCATGTGGAATGAAAGCTGTTGGTGATTCCCAACTCTACAAGGATTCTCGATTCAGTCTGACACGTGTAGGCCATAAAAAACAGCTACACCTATTTTCTACAGTTAAACTTTAGGAACAACGTTTTTTTTCCTTCCTTTATGTCACGTCATACTATCATACTTAAACTATTGTTTTCACAAACTATACTATTAAAATGTTGAGACTTTTTTCATTGCACATGACACTATGTTGTTTTCATGAGTTTGATTATGACCTTCTATAACAGTTGTCAGTCATCATGTATACTGTTAGAAGAACCACTGTGATGCTAGGCTGTGAAAAATCAACTCTCGACTAAATTATTAAAAGTCACTCAGTCACTTCCTAATAGGCCATTATCTGTGCAGTAAATGTCAATACATTATTAATAAAGGGTTTGTCGTCCTGCAGGAAGGAGGATAAACACCAAGCCAAGGGAACTTTCAAAACCCTGGCAATTCAGGAGTTGTTCTTATCAACAGCCTAAATGAAGCTTTGGGAAACAAATCCCAACATATGCTTCAAATATTAGCTAATTATAAAAAGGTTCTAATTAAAAACAGACTCAACAGATCAATTGAGCACAGCTTGCCAGGTTTGCATTTAGTAAGTGTTGTTTTGTGACTAAAAACTCATCTCTTTCGACTCCACTTCGAGCAATAAAATGACTAACAAAGCACTTATATACTAATAAAGGACTGGCTTATTTAAAGCCAGTTGAGTAGCACTTGAAATGTTTTGGCTCTATGAAACCTGATGTACTTATATGATTCTGTTTTTTTCAAGTTTGTATCTTCTTGGTCGAATGCACTTATTGTAAGTCGCTTTGAATAAAAGCGTCAGCTAAATGCAATGTAATGTTTTTCAAATTCAATTCTCAAATCAAAAGGGAAAAGCCAATGTTGACATGTGACGAGCAGTGAGGATGTAGCTTGTAATTTCAAAGAGCTTCAGCTGTAATTTCAGTCTGTGGGAAGGATCCATCAACATTCCTGCTGAATGAGGTCTTCTGACCAGTTTCCTTCCAGAGGTTGCTCATGCTTCTGTTATTCCTCTCCAACGCAGGGGCTTACAAGGCGGAGGAGGGACAGATGCATCATTGTTTCCTGTGTTGCAAGAGGACTTTCGATATGACCAGAAGAAAATGAAAGAGATCACCTACTGGCATTTCCACTGACTGCATGCCGAGGTCACAGGGCGGTTTGAGGGCTTTCGGCCGGGTGGCCAGCCAGTAGGTGGTGAAGGCGGCGAAGGCTCCCATGCCCATGAGTGCGTTGGTGGGCAGGCCGCGCATGTAATGCCGAAAATCCTCCAGCTCTGGGAAGCGCAGCTGTCTCAGGACTTCCTGAGCCTGCATGACTGTTCTGCAGTGAGCCTGCAGGGAACAGAGAGGAACGTTAGTACATTAGGAAACGTTAGGTCTGCACTGCTTCTGCACGTGTGATATATATTAGGAAAATATACGTTTTATTTCAGCACAACATTTTCTATCATCAGTATCAAAAATGTTTCTGCTATTTAACATGTCTCGTAATGGAATAGGATAAGTATGGAATGTGGGGATACAGCAGGTAATATTTCCATGTTTTTATGAATGGGCCTCTTGTGTTAGACAATTACACAACGACATGAGAGCCGCTCACACTGCAGAAGAATAGTGGTTCCATTCAGAGCAGCACGCAATTTACTACCATCTGTGTCAATGTGTTCACAAATACATGCTGTACTGAACATACCCTGAGGTACTGTATGGAATGTGAATCTTCTTTCTCTTACTGGATAGTTTGACAGCAGAAATGTACAGACAGGAAGCATAGGAATCATCTAATCTGCAACGATTAGATGATTCATAGCAATGTTCCATCTAATAAATCCCAACATTAGAGCTCTTAAAAGTATCAATTCTTGTATTGTTAGGTTTTAGCCTGCTGGTCAGACAAACCAAGACGGTCTAGTCCCTTGGTTTCAAGGAAAGAGGCATTTTAAGCCTTTCTTTGTTATACGGATTAATGCATTTCTCAAAAATGGTCTGCTGATTAAACAAATATGAAACTGATTGATAGCTCCGCCTCTCGCATGTATCGAAGGTCCCTGGCTGGAATCGGACAGCAGAAACTACAGAACAAGTTGTGCTTTCACGCTAAGGCCGCCAGGAAGCCACATTTTTCTCAAATGTTTACACTCGGAGGACAAACATTTGAACAACAGCAGCTGCCCAGCTAAACTAATCTCAGTAAGAGCCACATGTTAGAAAGTGTTCTCCTTTTTCTGTATTATATCTGATCTTAGTCTTTATTTCCTCCCTTTCAAGGGAAGAACATTTGGAATTTAATACGGCCTTGGTATGAATATGTATTTCTGGCACAATGACAAAATAAGAGAAACATAAGGTTTAAAACCAAAAAAAGCTCCAAGGATAGATCTCCCGTGAATCACAGAGCGATGCAGCAGCAGCTGTGTTCACACTGTGACTCAGACATGACCCCCCATTTCAGCATTATTGATTATTTGGCATATATTGAGTGTTTAATTCCTCAAATCCTTAGATACGACGAAACCTTAGCTTTGAAGATGCAAGTCCTTCTTTATAGATAATAAAACACTGAGTGGATTTGATTTCGTTTTGATCTTAAGAAGTGATTTGCATACAGAAGAAGTACTTGATTACTCAGAGCAGAAAGCATATACTACTAGTTCTTCTTTGAGATGTGTCTACGTTTAAAATCCAGAAGGTAAACTGACTAACTAAAGACTCGGTAGGGCGAGGTACGCTGCTTATCTTCGCCATGGTTCTTGTTCTGCACTTTTATGAACAATGAACACAAAAGGAAGATATGCTATCCCATCCACCAGCTTTGGGAACAACGACACAGGAAGGAAATATGACTCTGCACACATTTTCTGATCACAAGCCTCCATGGAGATACAACGTCTCGACCACAGACGCTAAGCACTGACAACAACTCTCCTCATGTCTGGAGGGAAGTGAGGCTTTCTGCTCTGGATGTTTTGGAAATGGCCGGAAAGTAACATTTTAAAGTCCTGGATATATTGCTCTGTTTCACAAACATTTGAATAGAACAGTCAAATGACAAGTTCATGTACACTTCATAAAGAAAGAGCCTGTGGAAAGAAAGACCCATTCAGACTCACCAACTAATCTTATCAAACCCTCAAAGCACTTGGTTAGATAAGTAGCATATACATTTCGATGGTTATATCTAGGGAAATTTCACTAAACATTTAAATAACTTGCAAAATGTAATGCTTTGTTTGATTCGTTTTTTCGGCTGGGCGCCTTTATGTACATCCTGTGAAACTCTTTTGACCTTTACATCAGACGGTAACAGACTGTAGGTAAACGGACAGCTGACCGCCCGCCACACAGTACAGTAGGCAACAATTGACTTCTCACCTACTTCTATTATTACACCAGTCTCATGGCTACTGCGATCCGTGCCAACTGGGACAAGGTACTGTAGACAACATACGTGTTGAGATATAATGAAAATAAATTGTTAAAATGCCAAAAGATTTAAAGTCATTCATATAATCTCCTTAAATTGGATATTCAACTATAAAAACACTAACATGATTCATTGAAAGAATTCAATATGAGCTCAATTCAAGTAAAAATAAACATTTCATAAACATGAAACCTCACACATGCTCCTCTACTGTACGTCTTACAGGTGTCCCTACTGTATGAGACACTATGAAAGACCACATGATCACACCAAATGCAGCTAAATGGATTTTCTAAAAGCTTCAGCACTGATAATTGACAGATTAAGAAATAAAAGATCTCTGTACTCACAGTCCCACGGAGTGATTATGAAGAAACGTACAGACAAACTGTGTGTCCGAGGGCAGAGAGGCAGTTATCTGACAGGCCCTTAGCTGCAGCAGTTGCTATTAGAAGGACTCACAGTGACCTCTAATAGACCTCTGAGGTTCTCACAACTATGAATAGCAAAAACACGCCCCTCCTAAACAGAAACACAGACGCGTGAGGCAGAGCTACCCACCCACTCAATGGCAACATCTTAGTAGCATGTCGATTTAAAACACACACAAGCTTTTTCACATTATGAAAAACACAACAAACAGTGTCAAATATTTTTAAATGTAATAGTGGCCACACATTCATTAGATAACACTGATACTCAATCTGGTTTGAATGAGCCTCAGTAATGTGTGTTCAAGACTAAATGACGCATATCTTATCATACATATTATCTGGAGACAGTGTGTGCAATTCATGTGTTGCCGAGCGTCGAAACTGATGAAACTAGTTGAAGAAAGAATGACTTTGTATTCCACATAATGTTGACTATTCCCTCGATTTGTAAACTGATATCACGCAGTATCTAAGCACTTAACCAACATACACACAAACCTGATCATATCTGCAGATTCCTTGGAGTCTAAGATGAATAATAAGCTTTCATTTGCTGTTAATTAAATACAGTTCAAGTACAATCTACAACTTCCATGTCTTGTGTTTCAATTGAGGAGAATGAAGGGTGATTCGTACATTTCTTGTCAGCTACAAAATAGGTATAGCTTGAGAGTGAACTTAGTGTAAACAGCTGTGTGTGCAAAATACACATGGATGTGTGTGTAGGTAGATAAAACATATAGCGATGCTGAGACGTATCGTAGGGCAGTATGGATAACATATTTGTTTTAATCCCATCATGGATAATACAGTAAGATTCCATTCAACCTGGATGTTATAGATAATACTAAAAAAGTCAAATCAGTTTTTGGTGAATTCATCCTAAAGAAATACCTGACAAAAGTCTAGATATTTCCCAAATAGATGCTCAATCATCATATTGCCACTCCTAATGAAATCCACAGAAATATAGCCAATTATTTTAGTAAATAAATATCAAGAAGATTTGTTTTGATTGGTTACTTTGCAGCTTTAAAAATTATGTTTTTTTATATTAAACAAGAGATTCAACTATTTTCACCATCAGTCAATTTGACAATAGTTTTTTGGATTATTTAATTTTTTGTTTTATATATCAAAGGATATGAACAAGTGTGAAACATTGGCAGTCACAACATTACAGAGCCCAAGATGACGTCTAAAAAAAAGAAATGTTGTGTAAACATGAGTCAAAACACACTTTTCTTTTACTGGAAAATCGCTGAAATTAATAGTTTTCTTTTAGCACTAAAACATTTTCAATTTCAACACAACCTGGTCTATGAAATAGCTTTCTTTGTAACATATTTTCTATTCAAACATCCAATCCAACATTTCACAGACTGAACAATTATTAATCAAAACAGTGACAAAGCAATCATATCAATGGGCTTTAGTTCCAGCTCTCCCACAGCTGTGTGTCTTTCTGTCAAATAGCCAACATCGGGCACATGCCATTAATTGCATGATTGACAGAGAGTTGTTGAAGTTAATGCAACTTTCCCCCCCCCCCCCCCCCCCCCCCAGGCGCACTACCCTCCTCCACCACCTCTGCTCTCCATACTTGGACTGGGAAGATGAGAAGCCAATGGCAGAGCCCGCTCTCCAGTCACCCCACACCAGCACACACAGACACTGGCAAGAAGTGGGGGAGAGGGCAGCTGGTCCGTTTGACACAGAACAGAACACCACGACTGCAGCTTGAAGCAGTCTGCAGCTGTAATACTGAAACCACAGACAGGAAGTAACAAAAGCACCCAGAGGGTTGGCCAATCATTGGATTTTCTGCTAAATAAATGTTTAGTTCCTCATGTGAAAGAGTGCACTGATAATAAACTGAATCCAAAAACTGTGCGACAGCTAGTGAGTGTTGAGCGTTAGCTTAAATGAGTTAAGCTCGTCATTACAAACGTATCAGCTCAGGGTTAACGCAGGGAGCCTTTAAACAAACTGTACTTAATCCCATCTAGACCGGACGATCACCAACAAATCTCAGTTGCAGATTATTTTCTCTCAGCTGTAACACAAATCTGCACATTTATGCATGTCATGCACAGCTATGATAAGTCAACTTTCTAGGACTTACTGACACCTCAAGCACAAGTGCAAAAATGGACGGAATGTTCTATATTATCATGTTTGGCTTGCTATCTCACAACCTCCATCATCAAGAAAGTACCTCCAAGGCTAAGGAGCACAGCGAGGCATTACTGTTACAGCACACGTCTTCTCCATGCATCATCCACTGGTGACGATGCTGACTTTTAGCACGATGTCATGCAAGTGCTTATGAAGTCAGCTGGAAATCTTTTAATTTAGCCAGAGACACTGCTTTCTACCAACTCATGATGTAATGCAAGCTTAAGTGCTCGCTTGCACTGAGAGGTCAAATCTGCCAGACATTTGTTATTCTAAGCCGGCAAAAACAATAGTCGACCGTTAGAAGTGAGGAAAGTGGTACATTTTTTAGCTACAAGAGGAAAGTTTACGGAACAGCAATTGGGCAGATAAAAAGAGGACACAAATTATCATTGTATCACCCTGATCAAACTGTGAAACAATGGCTCCTCCACATCGTGTTCGTTTGTCATTGACAGACACCATTTTACAGATTTTCTGCCTATTACAGTTCTTTAAAAAAGGTAGACGCAACCTTTTTTTAAAAACCTGAAACCAGATGTGTTAAGTAACTAACACATACAGTTCTAAAAACGCAAAATGTTGACATCTGAAATTCACGTGTTGATTGATTTATCTGATCCGGTTGCTTCAGTGCGGCTCCAAAGCAATACCTCATTGATATTTGAGCAGTAATTTAAATAGAAAGACGAGTCAATATATTCCTGTGCACAACTGATATCATAAGTTTACAGGGAAATAGCGTATGATGATCCTGGGCTTCTGATCGACTGCTTTTTCTTGATTATTTTGGAGGATGAGCGACACTCTACGTGAAAGCGTGAACAGGAAGAGACGATGTAAGCCCGCTCAGTGCATATATTTCTCAATGTGTGCTTAATGGCTGGTTGTTGAATCCCATGTGGCTTCATTGTGACATCTTTCATCTGCTTCACCCCTCTGTCTGTCTCATGTCCATCTTCCTCCAGGGACATGTGACCCTGGTTTTAGGACACAAAGGGCTGACCTTGCACAAGACGACCACACTCCAGACTGCAGGTCCCAAACTCCCTGGTGAAATCGCACACTCCCAGTCACATGGTCTCACAGTGGAGAAATGTAAGGGAGAGGGAGGGGAGGATGGGATTTGTGAAGTGGAACAAAGGTTGCACGCCCGTACAGAGCTACCAGCATCACGACACATGACCTCTACACTGAAGGTCAGAGAAAACGTGCTGCCATTTGGAAATCATTGTGCACGAGTCTCAGTGAAATGTGGGCTGCAAATCTTTTTAGAGGTCAGATTGTTGTTGATATTAAGAAACAAGTTATGTATTAATTTAATGTTGCTCCATTAAGAGTTTCATAAAGGTCTTACGAATGTCTCGGATGCAAGTCCTTCTTGATTAAACATTTGCAAAGCTTATTTCTCTAAATACTTTAAGTGCACCATTTGCATCCATGTTTACAGTATAGGTAGCCTTCTTGTAGATTGCCCTTATGAGTTGCATTTACCACAACAAGCAACTAGGGCAATAAATAAACATTTGAACAAAATCGCAACATGGCCTACATAAATGTAAAAATTGCAGGAGGCACAAAATACCATGTGAATTTAATATTGGGTTGCTGCAGAGACGTCCAAAAAATGTATTTGTTTGGTTCAGATCCTCGCAAAAATCACACCATCGTAAATTTGTTTTTCTATGAAACTTAGAATAATAATATATAAACGATGATTCTCTCCAATATCCGGAATTATATTTAAACTGTCAATATCAGTGAAAATAATAGAAATAATATGTTTTATTCGGCCCTACAACCAACTGTCAATCATAAAGAACAATGTCAAACTATCAGCAAGAATAGTTATCAATCCATGTGCACATAAACAAACAGTGTTGACACACGTAACATTTATACTTCACTTTATACTGCTGGTAGAGGTCAACAACTTAACAGGTTACCTTTAAACTACTTATCTTCCACTGAGGTCAGTTTTAATGACTTTGAAAAATAAAAACCACAAGTTCTTCAGTTAAAACAAAGCTAGAAAAAAAAAGTGCTTTCAGAAAAATTATCACTTTATTTATTTCTATTTCTATTTTTAGAATCACATCACTCAAATGTTGCAAAATGCCTTATTTGTCCAAACAACCCATAATCATGATCATCACAGAGAGTATCTGTGGATGACCTAAATAATGTTTGCTGTGAGCTAATAGAAAAAGGCAATGCAGACGCCAATGTTACTGTGTAAACAAACATGTTTACACTCTATTTACATATACCTACATCCTGCTATCTGCAGCCCGAGGCACACGGACGTGTCAGAACAGAAGTAGACGTTGATCTCGCAGCACTGACAGTATAAATGCAGCTCAGACAAAGACACATTTCTGAAGCAGCACTGTTTGTTTTGAGTAACGTTAAAGGCTAGTGCGCCACACACAACATGCTGCTCAGCTGTTTACGAGCCTCCCTCTGCTCATACGATATCATTTAAAACATAGTTAGCGCTAACATAATGCTAAGTTCTTCATAGTGATCTGATAATACAATGTTTTTGTTGACTAAAAAAACTACAGGCTGATATTTGGAGTTGCTAAACATATTATTTGGTAGCATTAGACTGTATAATACGACTTTAGGGAAGATCATGTGCATAAAGGATTACTAATTGAGGGAAGGTTTAGCTCATTAACAGTAGCCCTGGGTGTTACCAGTGAACACATAACACCTGAACAGACATTAGGGTCAATGGAACAAGCAGGAGCGCAATTCACCAACTTGTTCAAGATTTCCGTCATCATACTCTGGGGTGACGACTGAAGCTAATTTCCCACAGAATCAGATGATTTCT